ACAAAACACTGATCTGTACTTAATTTGTTTCCATTTGAATCGAAACGTATAATTTAATTAAAATCACGTTTCGTTCGTTTCTAACCATTTCATAACAGTTTTTAATTAAACGAAATTCATTTGTCGTTTTGGACATGAGAAAGTTAATTAAATCTACACAAGATTTTATTTTAAAAAATTTAACTAACGTTCATTTAAAAAGATGTACATCAGTAATATTCATATTTCAGTGAGGATTTTTATATATATTTATCATTTAACTTTAATATTTTTTTATTTTATTTTATTATATACATTATTTTAATGTCGTTGAAGTTAATTAATTTTTATGAACTTATTCAATTTCTTCGTTGTAAAAAATAATTACGAAATATTTTTAATTCTATAATTATTATAAATATACCTTTGAATTGTTAAGAATTTTAATGGTTTTGAAATTCCTCTGAGTAATTATTTTCTTAAGTTCGAAAATTGTGTAAATATTTAATTTAACGTTTTGTCAAACCGTTCTTTATTTTTTACATTATTAAACGTAAATGTTTCCATTTAAGAATTAATGTATTTGTTAAATAACAATCAAAATTTAATAATTAAAGAATTTTTAATAGAATTAAACAACTTGATTAGCTAATAATTAATTATATTTCTAATGTTCATATTATATTTTTCATTCTCATACGTTTTATAACTGAACTTTAATAGCAAGTGACAATTAAAATCTTTCATTTATCGCATTTTTTAACTAACAATCGATAATCAATTTTAATGTCTCAATGTAACATTGAAATACTTGAAACTTTAAAATTAAATGATAACAGTTTAAACATAATTTGGCTTCGATTAGTCCGGATTTTCTATATTCACTATAGTAAGGTTTAAATATTTCAAAACAAACAATATTTAAAGTCACTTTGTAAGATATTTCTGTACAAAATTGAATAATCAAGTTTTGATTAAGTAACAATTGGTTACTTCATTTTTATGCTATTTTTTATTATCATGCGAATTACAACATTCTACAAATAAAATAAAATTATCGGTTAACTAACAGTAGATTAAATTTAACATTAGTTTCAAATTGTCAATGAAAAATATTGAATGTTTAAAAACTATACACTATTATTTAATTTGAAAACTTAATTACAATTAAATGAACTGCATCTATATGTGATTAGAATCTCTCTCTATTTCATAAATTAAATTGTAATTTCTTTAACTAACATTTACAACTATACTTTGCATAGTGCGGCTTCAATCTGTCCGGTTTGAAAATCATATCAAACTATTTTTTTGTAAATAAATATTTTAACTTTCTTTTTATGTTTGGTTTACGTTTTATTTACAAGTTACATCTAAATCTTACATGGGTTAATGTAGAACTTAATTGGTTGATAATTGTTTTATTAATGTTTTTTTCTTTATTTTCACAATATGAAAATTTTTTATCGATGTAAATAACAAGTATTAATTTTCTTTATTCCACCTCAATTCGTAAAATCTTAAACTATTCTGAAGAAAAATATCAATTTTACAATTATTTGTTCTATTTATGTTATTATTAATAAAATAAAGATATTCATAGAAATAAAATTTCAATATTTTTCACACAGCGAAATTGCGTATAAAATATTACATTTGCAGGCTGCAAAAATATCATTGTTTCTAGTCAATTGGGTCTGGCGCACGGTTTGGGAAATCGTTTAGCATCGCGAGATTAAAAGGTTCTCTTCCCATTTTCGCTCGTTTCATAAATTTCTTTTGTGTGGAAAATGCAATATGCAGGAAACGACTAATGCGATTCAATGCCTCACGCCGTGTACTTTGAATACCATCCGACCGAAATAAATGATCAAACAATGCGAATATTCAGTATTCCCCTCGCAAAACGAATTAAATTAGACGGTGACCAGTTGTATTTAATATTCAGTTTGCTTGAGATCCTTCTCTCTCTCTATCTCTATCTCTCTGTCTGTATCGATTTTTCAGAATAGCAGAAAGAATGAAAAGCATTACCGTTCTGCGATTGATGCTACTTCATAATTTAATTAAAATGTCATCTATAATCTAATTAGAATCATGTAAAACGAACGTCTTTTGTGGCACAATTTAAAAATGAATAGTTATGCAAAGAGTTGGCAGTTATTTTAAATACTTAATCGTGCTTATTTATGAAAACTGTACGTGAAGACTACGAGCAAAATGTACATGAATTTGTGAAGTCATATCAACCCTTGCTGCTGCTGAATATTAATGTTCAAGTAAAATATAAATAAACAAATGACAAAGATTGACTTTAAATTTCTTTATAAATTTATATATTTAGATGCGATCTTTAATATATTTTTTCCTATGTTCTGTTTTGCCATTTGTTCTTCTTTTGGCGTGTAATTTTTAGTGTTGTCCTGTTTTGTCCAGTCACCAAATATATATTAATATTGTAGTGAAAACCCACTTTAATTTGTTTAACCTGTCAAGGATACGTGCAAATGTCAAACAGTTGTTACTAGATATGTTATTTAAAAATAATACCATATTAACATTGAAAGAAAATATAATGTGAATATTTTGATCAAAAAAGTAAATTTATTGAGAAACTAATGTAATAAATATTATTTATATTATATTTAGAAAAATACACAATTCTTAAATTTTCCTTACTAATTTGAACTAGGTTTCACAATGCATAACTGTAATTAAATTGATTGTAAGTAAAACAGTTTGGATGTGAATAACTATGTAAATTGAAATTTCATTTGATTGTGTACTTGTTGCTTTGATTAATGTATGTATTTACAAATGGGAAGATTTTATCTATTGAAATTAGTTATATTTCATATTTCAGAAGCGTAGCTCAAATGTTTCTGTATTTATCAGTAAAATAATATTTTCGACTGACAAAAATAGGACAATGAAAGAAAATAAAGGCAATTGGAACAAATATTAATTCGCATAAGATAAGAGTAAAATTTGATATTGAGTTTGTGAAACTCTACTTTATAATTAAGTAATTAGCAAGTATTGAAAGAATATAGTGATATTCTAATTAATTAATATGTCAATTTGAATCCTTAAATGTCCTAAGTTTTAAATTTGATTGATACCGGCTACCGGACTTTTAAATCGAATTGTATACTTGCAATTGGTTTGTTTTTATTATTTGGCTGTATGTATGTTACTATTACATGAACAAAAGTTATATATACTGCAATAGATACATTGATATTTTTTAAATTTAATTTGGAAAATCAGGCTTTGAAGGGTTGATGATCATCGAAGTGAAACATGTTATATAAAATTTCATTATATACAACCAAACAAACAAGAGTGTATTTAAAAAGTAAATATCAAACATGAAATTTTAATATACAGTGGGTGATCGGCTAACGAACTCAATCCGTTCAAAGACGATGTTCGTTACTTAGATTATCCAAATGCAAAAATATTCGATATCCGATTTGTATGCATTCCAAACTATTCGTTAACCGATCATTCAGTACACATTTTAACAAAAATTTAAGACAATATATTAATTTTTCAATAATTAAACTTTGAAGCATGCAATAATGGATAAGGAACTTGTCAAATCTTATGTGATTCTAACTTAAATAATAAGTATGAGTTCCAAAAAAAAAACCGTAAAATGTGGAAATTAAAAAAAACTTTTGTATATCTTCTAACAAATAATAATTTCATACAATAATCAATAATGAAACAAAAGTCAACTGATGAAAAAGGCTATTGATGATATTTCTTTCTACTAATTGCAGACTTTATTGGGTTTTAAAATGTTACAAAAACCTATATATAAGGTTAGATTTCTAAGGTAAGGTTAGTTTATTAAAATAAAGTTCATAGATTGTACATAATAAAAACTACAGATTCTAAATTCAGTTAATAAATCAATAAATAAACAATAAATAATAAGAAATAAATCACTTTTGCAGCTAATAACATGTATTTATTAATTTATTTTTTTTATATATATATTATTACATAACAACAATATTGTGTATATATTAAATACATATATTTATATGTATATACATTTATAAATAACTCTTACATCATTTTTTTTTCTTCAAATTATTCATCGATAATCACATTTGATATTTTCATATAGAATATATTCATAAAACTTATATAAAGGAATAATATAGGAATAACTAAGTTATAGAATATAAAGACATTCAGTATACACTTCGAGGCTAATAAGACACAACTAACTGACTAAATTATTGTCCAGTTTCTTATTATTTTTGCAAAACTACAAGTCAGTCTGTTAATATTTTTTTTTGTATTCTGAAACACATTACTAGGTGAGATAAAATGTGAAGTAGACTAGAATTTTGTAAACGTCAAAAAAATATAGTACTTGGACGTCGGTTTTTTTTTTTCAATTCTTCTCCTTATTGTCTGGCCACATGTATCTTCAATTTTTTACACGACAAACGACTGAAATAAATTCTAAAGCTATACATATACGTTTATAATTTTAATATAATAGTTATTATTGTCTTCTATATCATAATGTAATTTCATTTTGAAAACTCCTATAAATTGACAAGATTATTTTTTAATCTATATAAATGTTACATCTATTATTTAACGAATGTAAAACAGATATGTCGATGTATACTTAAAGGAATTGATGAAAAATCAACTTATTATTGTTAATTATGAGCAAATTAACTTGGATATGTCGATGTGAAGATATGTTTAATAAAAATATTTATAGAAAGAAAACATTTTTTAGCGTTTCTGTTAATTCGAAGTTCTAACTTTCTTCTAATACTGATGCTGTTGCATTTGAGTACAGAATAGTTATTTAGTTACTTTACTAATTATTGTATTCCTAATACGACTTTCATTATTACCTATGGTTTCATGATATACTTTTTTTTTAATATGTAACAAATTTTTGAAACTTAAAATGTTCAATTTTGATATGATAAATTTAACAATCATCAAGTAAATAAAATTAATTTTTAAAAAATCCTGGACAGAATCATTTGTAATATTGAAATTGATATAAAGTATTTCTTTCGTAAAAAATAATTGTTTCGGTTTTTCTTAAGTACGATCATTTCCTTCATCAATGTGTTCTCGTAAATCATCAAACACTTTTGTGCATATTTTATCACATTTTCGTTAGCTAATATACTTATTAATTATTGTCGGATACTTTCCAAAACGTAGATAAGCCTAAAAAATAAAATGAAAAGCAATTATTCACTGACAACTGATCTACTTCTACTAATTATCCTCGTCTTCGTCATAGGTTCCTCCAGTGGGACAACAAAGACCTTCGCTTCCGTCGTCGCGGATGCAGAAGAGCAATTTCTCGGCCGTTGTCACTTCGTGCGGCATTATTCCGTGGAAGTCCTTCAAGTCGTTGGCGGGGAACCAGGCTTTCTCGTCGTCTTCAATTATGACGATCCCGAATAATCTGCAGGGACGTTAAGACAATTACTTTTTTGAGGGCTTCGCTTTGCGGAGAAGTAAAGTAATTACCTGCAAATTGCTATGCCTGGAATCCATAGAATGGAAGCGCACACCAGGAAGATGATGAGGACTATGGCCCAGGTGGGCCAACCGTGACGTTCAGTTATTCCTAGAGATGCGACCCAGGCGTCATAACCGGAACCGTCGACGGCGATCTCCACGAAACTTGCGATCAGGATTGAGATCATAGCAAGCGGAGACAGGTATTTCCAGCAGATTAGCCAATAAAGACCTGGTCTGGATCCGGTCATCATTTCAATATCATCTGCAAAACTGCAGCAACAACAAAAATCATTTTAAACCACATTTGAATAATAAACAACTTAATTTAACCCAATTTATTTCCTATCATCAACTTTATTAACATTCATTTTATAATAATTATAATTTTAGCTTAAGAAGTTCATTTAAAAGTAATAATTTGACATTTTTTATTGTTAATGGTAAAATAAGACTATGTTCAACCATTATTCTGAAGAATACTTCTATATACAAAAAAAAACTACTGTTTTACCACGGTTCATGAATTCCAAGTGATGTAGATTATAGAAGACATCGAAACGAGGATTTGGTTTTAGAACAAATTTATATATTTCGAAAACCGGTTTTTTGAACTAAAAAAAATGAGACGTTTGTGTGTATGAGAGAGTATTGTCTATTTCTGCAAATTTTATATTAAAAATTACAAGAAAATAAGTTATATAAAAATCCCCTGTCTGTACATTTTTATGAAAATTTGAAAACCGGTTTTGTAAAAAAGTTGAAATTCGAAAACCGGTTAATCCTAATTTTATTAATTTCAATATAATTATCACTAAATGGACAATTTACACACGTTTATGTACAATGCATATAAATACAAAAATAAGAAATAAAATGTATTGTATTACAACATACAAAGCTCTATTAACCTAAGTCTTCCCACCTAAATGCAATAACGCAAAATCAATACGAGAACGGCAATTACCCGGCGCATCCACCGATCTTGAATGTACAAATCATTATACTTTTAAATAAATAAATGCATGTTTATAATTTGATTTTATTTCAAATCTAAAATAGGAAGATTTTATTGTTATATAAACGTGAAATAATCAAATGTTGACTCTCTTGATATGCACATAAAATGAATTTAATTAAAAAGGGATTTTAAACGTAGTTTCATTAATTTAAATACTGTATATTAAAGAGATTGCGAATGTTCAACGGAGAAGCTTAAAACTTAAATTGAAGCGAGATCTCTCACGTCTCATTACCGTTATCGTTTTCAGTTGTTTTAAAGTTTTGAGCTTCCCGAAACAGCTTGATTATAGTATCAACGAGATTAGAGCTTTGCAAAAATATTATTGAAACTGTTATTATTTCATAACAAATGTATTATAGTTGAAAATATTGAAAACTTTAGATCTACGATTTAAACTTTTTTTAAGTCATAGCATACTTGACACTTAACTTTCAAGACACACTTAATACTTAAATTATGATATGTGCACTTATTGTGCCTGGATTATCTATATGAGAAATAATTAATTATTGCAGCACATTGATGATAATCATTGTTGAATATAATTCAGAACTTAAAAAATATGAATAATATCACACATTATATGTCATAAGTCAATGTTGTTGTTACTATTTTCAATTCAGAAGATTCAAGTAATTTAAAAATAAACGATCCACAAAATAAAATACAGCAATACCTCGTTTCTCCATTATCCCGGACTAATTGAAACCAGACTAATTGAGAACTTAACTGCATACAAAATAAACAGCACAAAAAGTGTTTTGACTGTATTTTTAACTTTTATACAGTCAGTATACTTTTTATACAGTTTTGTATACTATTTTTTGTAAGAACTTATTTTTATTTTACTAAATTTAACCGGACTACGTAAATGTAAAACTGGTATAAACACCACTATGCGAGGTATTGTCTATCTAAAAATGAAATGTGAAGAAGGAAACAAATTGAAAATAAATGTTTGAAACTGTCTGTTATGTGGAAATTTGTAATAATTATGAAAAATAACTAAATAAAAACAGTTTTAAATAATGAGACAAAGATATTAAATACTCTTTTGTTAACAATAATAGTAGTTACTTTGATAAGAAGATTATTTTTAGAAGAAAATTATATTTTTGAATAAAAAATGTACAACATTCATTTTGAAGAAATTAAAGTGCCTTTTGCAAATTGAATAAATAAATCAAAATGTATAATTTCAAGTTTTAGTAAATGCCCTATTTGCATTATTTCAACGGCAATCCCATTTATTCTCGTGCAACATGATGTTAATATATTCTCATTAGCTGAGAAATTAAACGGTCTTGCTTTCCCGACTCAACAAACATATACATAGTGATATTACGAATTCATTCAAATTTACATAATAATAATTGATATTTGCTTCAGTAATTTATATTATTACTATATATATATCGTTCATTATATATAAAATATAATAATTTTGACCTACTTTATATAGTAATTGTTTTATTTTGCAAACATATTTTATTTATATTTCAAAATTTATAACGTGAAATTTGTTATTTGTCATTTCACATGTGTATTTTAACGGTTAAATAAACAATTTATACATGTTTATGCACGATGCATATAAATACAATCACGCAAAATCAATACGAGAACGGAAATTAACCGACGCATCCACTGATTACGAATGTACAATTTCAAAATTTTCATTTACTTTTAAATATATTTCACATATAAATTAATATATTATTATTTGTATTATATATAAGTAAAGCATCGTACAAGCAATTTGTTATGCAAATAACCCGGACTGTTTGAAACAGGATAAATCGAGGAAATACATAAATCGAACAAAAATATTTCTGATTGTTTAAAGTAAAAACTAATCATCAATAATTTATGTACTTGTTTTGTTAGAATTAATCAAAAAATAGGTTAGAAAGATCCAATATCAAGTATGAAGTTAATAATCAGAGATAAAAGCAGACTTTAATATTTGTTTATATATTGTAGGTAAAAGCTATTAATTTTTTTTAATGAATGATTTGACGATTTGAAAAGCTTTAGAAGCGAGTTTTGTTGAATCCTATTTAATAGTTCATCGAAATCACATAATAAATACCCTTGATGCAGATTACGCAAGAATAAATGGACAGTTAATAGAGCTTTTTTAACTAATGTGTTTATGATTACTGCAATTGTATACACTTAAAACAAGATTTGGAATAAAAAAAAATATTTTAACATCATTTTATATCCATTTGTTATTTTGAATGTGAAAATCAATGCATTTAACACATGAAAATCAAATTGATATATCAAATATCTGTCAAATAAGATACAATAATTTTATTTTGACATTTTAAATCCAAAGCTATATAAATATACATTTGTCAACGGAGTATAAAAATATAAAATATTTTATTTGAATATATGTTTCAATATTATTTTAGATTAATTTGTAATTATTAAAGTAAAAATCAATGCATTTGACATTGATATAGATATAACAAAAGTTATATAGATTGATATTGTTCGAAATAACTTTCAATGGAGAAATAAAATATAAAAGTTTTTTATTTAGAAAGAACAAAAAACTAAGAAGAAACAGCTGGGAAAGCTCTTAGAAGTAAGGAAAGTGTGACCTATGTCAATAGTCGAGGATAATTCTATACTCTAAAGTACACAGACATCTTATCCAAACCAATTCACGCGCCACAAACACTTTCCTGGTAAGTATATCGAACAAAAAATAAACTGTTGTTAAGAGATGTCCTTTATACTCGATATCCTTTAAATCTTTCACAGCACATTGTGCTTGATTTTTATAGTTACATTATAAAAGACGTGAATCTTCTGTACAATTTACAATATAAATTACACCACATACGAACATATACAATAAATAACTTTCAAACTATGATTTGATAATTTATCATAGTTATTTAATTTAATGAATTTGTAAATTAAAACTTATGTTATAAAAATGTATTTCGTTGTTCATTAATTTTTAAAAGTCATTATTTAATTAAAGTTTAATTAGTTAGTTCTGCATCTTCTATAATTTACTCTTTTTTTGGTTTCTAAAGATCTTTATCGATCGGCATTGTTAAATTATCGGATTTATAAATCATTTTTAATTATCTGTTATATTTTTTAGGTTTCAATGCTCGTCTATTATAAAAATAGATTAATTGTGAAACGAGAACTTTTTCAATTTAGTTTTTTGCTTTTTTTTCAAATCCATGATATAATAAAGTGTAACGTAATATTAATAAGCTTTATAATTACCGTTTCAATCCGTAGACATAGGAGACGGCGATGCACTCGAACAATGCAATGATTAATAATGGAAAATTTCCGCTGAAGTTGTCGAACAGGACGAATATGTAACTGCCGGCGCCGTGGGCGAATCCCAAGGATAATAAGCAACAAGTCAGGCATATGACTCCAGTCAGGATCTCTTTTCGTAGATTCGGAAACAGTTTCATATCGACGATGGATGTGACGACACCTTCGAGTGTGCCAAACTGCGAATCGATGCCAAGGGTGAAGAGCATCAGGAAAAAGAGGACCGACCAGAATTGGGCGCCGGGGAACTGGTTTATAGCCTCCGTGAAAATGATGAACGCCAAGCCCGTGCCTGAAGCCGACTGAAATCAATTGAATATATCCATGTACATTTCGAAATTTTATTATAGACAATCTGAAAGTATATTTTATATATTTGACGATGTACGAATGTGATATTAAACAAACAGATGGAGGAAATTGAAAATATCGAACGGTATTAAAAGAATCTTTGAGAAAATATATAAGAAAACACAATGTACAAGAAATGTATTTCTAAAGTTCATTAATTTTCATATTCTTAATATAGAAAAAAATCTAACATTTTAATAAGAATATTCTTAAGGTCTTGTAGACTCAATATTTAAATAGAAATATACTTACGTTATCAAGTTCTTTTTGTAGGTCGCAAACTGGAAGCTTTGCCAAATCGAATATGCCCAAGGCGAAAGCTGTTGCATTGCGATCTTCTAAACACTTTTCGTAAGTCATGGTAGCTTTAAAACCAATAATGCTGAAGACGACGATTCCAGCAAACATCGACGTAAAGCAATTAGTCATGGAGACCATTAAGGCATCTCGGTAGCAGTTGTTATTTACAGGATTGTAAGACGAAAAGGCAATTAGACCTCCGAATGCCAAACCTAATGAAAAGAATATCTGCGTTCCGGCTTCGAGCCAGACGACGGGGTCGAGTATAGTGTGCCATTTAGGCGTAAATAGATGCATCAAGCCGTCTCCTGCTCCTTTGAGCGTTATACCGCGGAAGAAGAATATAATGAGAACTATGTAAGGGAAGGTGGCAGTTACATAGACGACTTTTCCCGAAGATGCGATCCCTTTAATCATGCACATGTAAACCAAAATCCAGGCGATTACAAGAGCCAAAGCAATTTTCCAATTGAAAGATTCCGGATTGTCGATGTCTTTGGAAACAAGAAGGGTTGTTCTGTACCAGAAGTATTGAGTGGGACTGCTAACGGTGCATTCAGGTTCTTCGATGTAAGAGCTGTTTGGGAAGTAGACCTTAGGGCATTCGGACCACGGCAGCTCAGATTGAAAGCTTTGTACGAAGTAGAACAGACACCAGGCGATTATAGTGTTGTAATAAAGGGCGACGTTAAAGGAAACGACGGCGCTGCTGATTCCGATGCCTGAAATGGATGAAACAACTCATTAAATAAAGAGAAAGACTCCCTTTGTTAGAAATAAAACGCTATAGAACCTGATAAGAATGGCGACACTTGACTCCATACACCGATCGCCCCCTTCCTCAGCCTTTGTCCTATGGCCAATTCCAGATAAAAAATGGGGATGCCTTCAACAGCCAGCATTACGAAATAGGGGATCAGGAAGGCACCGCCTCCGTTCTTCTGCGCTAAATACGGAAAACGCCACACGTTTCCCAACCCGACTGCATATCCAACAGTCGCCAAAAGAAACGTCAATTTGCTGTCCCACGATTCCCTCTCTTCCTCAGCACATTCCGGCTTGAAAACCTTTCCTTGATCGTGAGATCCTCTTTTGCTACTGTTGCTCGACTTCAATTTCGTATTTGGACTGGTATCCTCGAAGGCGGCATTCGTGGCTCCGTAAGAACAAGAAGAATTTGATCCGTTTTCCACCACCATCAATCTGCCTCGCATCTCCTTCATCTCCAATCGGTCCAACGAGCGCTGAGGATTCAGATCTCTCGAACTCTGTCTGCGGACTAAATGAGCCGTGTTCGCCATTTCTCTAAATTTCCAATTTTTTTGTTGTATATATATATTATTAAATGAGATGTGTATCACATGCTGATTTATCCTGCAAAATAAATTGAACTCAACGTAAATGCGACAGCCTTTTAAAATACGAAATAATAAAAAAAATGTACGAAATGGTACTGTTATTGAGCCAAGCGGATTGAGCTCGAGAAGTGGAAAGGACGTAACGAATGACTACATGGGATAAGGGGAGAATGCGTCTAAATGAAAGAGGTTTAATGTCGGAAGCAGATGCTTCAACGACGATGAATGAGGTGTGTATATGTACGTGCATGTTTTAGTTCTATGAGATAGGAGACTTACTAAAGTTTCAATCATAAAGTGAAGAGTAATGACTATTTATTCATAGAAGTTCTGCATTTCTGGTTCCTTTTTAAATTAAATAAAGTAGGACAGAAAAACTACTGTCAATAGATCATTGTATCTGTGTTTTCATGTAAGAAATATTTCTTTTTTTATTATCAACTGCAGCTTTGAATTATCCTTCAACAATTTATTATCTTCTTTTTTACATAATTTATTTACATCATCATTTTATTTATTGTTTATCTTTCAATTATTTTACCATTCGAACGATTTCCATAAAATATATTATAAATTATTTTTAATTATAAAATTTGAGAAATAATTTTACAAAGTTTGTTTCTTTTTAAAGACCTATCAGAGTTAAAATATATTAATTGTCTTATTATCTTGTGAATAAAAAATATTTAGAAAATTGATAGAAAGGTAATTAAAAGCTAGAATAATGAACAGACAAAAGTTTCTGAAAGTTTAAAATTGTCTCAAATATCGTATAATTATTTTTTTATTTTATTATTGTTATTGAACGTAAATGATTTTTGTAAGTAATTATTCCATTAAAGAATATAATTACAATATTTCAAAAAATCAATTGAAATTAAGTATAAAGAATATATAACAATTGTTAAAAAGTTTCTAAATTTAAAAAATAATAATGTTGAAAATGGTGAAATAATGTAATAATAGTTCAAAACAATAAGATATTGATTAAATCATGCAGATTTAGGCATTAAGTACTATTTTTCATAGAAACACATAATTCATAATTACATAATTTCCAATGGAACAAAAATATCATTATTTGAAAAATTGAACAAATCCAATAAATTCCTAAAGTGGAGAACTTTAGGAATAGTCAAATATTTAAAGCGAATATTCGTAAAATTCGATAAAATCAACATGTTTGAAATGCATGAATGTATGTTTCGTTCAATGCAACAAAAGCTGTCGAGCATTTATTAAACTGCATTCCAATTGGCTTTGCGCTTTTGCTGTGAGAATGTTTGATGTTTTAGGCAATTCATAGCTTATATTAAAAACAAACAAAGAATGGATAACTTTGATTCTGCATTTTGTAAATTTGTAAATAACCTTAAATTATTGTAACTAAAAACTTATTACTTCACAAAAATTGGCAAAATTAAGAGACACAAAGATCTATTATTTCTAAACTTTTTATTTTTTTATGATTGTTGCAATAATATTATGATATTTGTTAACAAAGTAAATATTTATTTTGATTAGTATTAAGTAACATTAATTATTGCTGAGATATTAGTGTGTAATTAGGTAACAATAATATTATTTAATGTTAATAAGGAAGCTTGTAATAAAAACATTTTTTATTATTTTTCAACTAAAGATTATTTAGCCACCACTTCAATTTAATATCGTTTTAAAACAAGATTGCAAGTGGGGAAACATATACAATTTCTACTTTGTAGTTTTTATTTTGTACAGTAGTATTGTGGTCGACCCAAGCATGAATATACATTTAAACTATTTGTTCAAGCAAAATGTATATTCTCTACGTGGTTCTCTCAAAATCTCGTTGGTTACCCGAGTAAACCACGGTCGATGACTTAGCTAAGGTTGCCCTAATTCAAAACCCTTTAAATCTACTAAATACATCATTAATTCTCCTGACCATTTCCATTGCCGATGAAAACCAACATAAAAATTATTAATTAACAATTATAATTTAATGAAAGCTTATATAATATATTTTGTAAATACAGCAATACATAATACAACTTCTATCAGTGCGTATTCACTATAGTCCGGTTTGAAATTTTAAAAGAAACTAAATTTTTAATGGAATGAAACAAAATTAAATTATTAAAAAAACATAATTAAATCTTTTATTGTTTAGTTTATTTCAATTATGTTTTAAAGTCCTCGATTAATCCGGTTTCAAACAGTTTAATTACATTATGGTTTATTAACATCTCGTGTAACTACAAAAAAAATGAAATTGATTTCCAGCTACGTAATAATAAAATATACTGAATGTTTGATGTAAATACTATATGAAGATATATACACAAAAAAAAACAGTATTAAAATTATATACAAGTGAATGTGTCCAGTCAATTGGAAAAAGGTTCTGATCACTTACTGAATGAAAAGAATGGATTCGATCGTTTTCCTCTTTCCTTTCATTGCAGCTTCGCCTTCAAAGCTTTTGATATGAGGGGAAAATGATGTGGGCGAGAGAAAGCTAAGAGTCTAACAAAGAAACATCCCTTTATACGAAAGAAACTCGTATGCATCGCACATGGAGGAATTCCAAATTACACACAGCTTTCTTCACATAAATCACAATGCGGATACAATATCTCGTCAGTAATAGTAACATGAAATGTCGTATATGTTTGACCTAATATTATAAAAAGTTGTAACAATAAATGTGAGAATTTAAGAAATTTATTTAAATGGAAATCTATATTAAAATCATTATATTCTGTAAAGTAATATTTGTTATTGTACAGTCATAAAACTTCATTTTCAGAGGTATAAACAGGTCATATCCATTTCACACTGATGGTTTAGCAATAACACTTCTACCAAAATCATGATTTTCATGTATTTTAAGCACTTCTTTAATGTTATCTTCATTTTCATTATCTTTGTTTCAATATTTATAAAAACTTGATCAATATAAAAACTTGAACAAATAAAACTTCAAAATCTTAAGTAAATGTTTTCAAAATTTGTTCATTTTAGTAACATATTAATGAAGAATTAATCTTTGACTTAAACTACATTAAATAGTAAAGTGTTAATTAAAAATCAGTGAATTTTGTACAAAAAACTCCAATTATTTAATAAAACATGTACAAAATATACAAATTAGCATTAATTATAAATTCCTAATGAAAAGACACTTTTATTAAAGTAAAAGTTGTATCTACATATAAGTTACATAAAACGTTAAGTACTTTTTCCTTCATGGCGCTCGAATCTGCATAAAATAGCTCCATTTCGCACGCAAACTAAAACTAAACTCGTGTAATCGTATTAAATTAGTAAAGCTTAATTACGCAAAATGCAAACACTGAACGAAATTTCGAAAATTTTATTCACTTTTGCAATGCAGTTAATGTGTATTTGAATGTACCTAGTTCGTCCAACGAAACTTATTTACTTTACTTTTAAATTATGAAATATCTTCGCAAACTTTAAAGTACAATTCCCTGTCGTTAGACTCCTTTTTCTTTACATTTATATTCGGACTCCCAATGCAAAACTCAAAGTTCTCGCTCTTACAAAAGTTTGAATCTAACGATCGATGTATATAAGCAGCTTATTTCAATAAAATGTCGGTTGCATTTTAATAATTAATTAACTGTTACTTATGTTAAGTAAAAAAATAAATAATTAACTTTGTAAACATAAATTAATACAACAATACCTCGCTTAGTGCGGGTAGTCGGTTCCGCAAATACTGATACTGTTTAGACCGTACTAATAGAGAACTTTAAAACCGCATAAAAGGAGATTAGACTCCATAAGAAGACAAATACCTGTCATTTATGTATAAAAAAATAATTTAATGTACTATTTTTTAGAATTTATTTTGCTCAATTAAAATTTAGTTTGTCACCAGACTATGGTGAATCCGAACAGATCAAAGCCTGTGACTATTTAAAATCGAACACTAGATGATCATTTTTATTGTAAATTTCTATATCTACTTCAATACTTACACTGATATAATTAATAATACTAAGATTTAAAATTTTGATATAAGAACTTTAATATAATAATTATTGATTGTATTATACCAAATAATTGGTGTTTGTTTAATTTAGTATGTAAACTAAATTAGCTTTGTAAAGTTATGGTGATATTAACATTTGAATGTGTTGTTTTATAAGCACTAAAATTATTCGGTTTGGGGTTATTGGACGTTTTATTGCTGCTTCCAGCAATATATTTCAGCTAAGGATCATAAATCAAGGCCTTTCTCTGAAATCTGAGAAGGGTCAACATAAGGTCCACTGCAATAACTATTATTTATTGAAGTCATTTCTCACTTGTTGAAATATAGCTGTTTGATTAAACTCCTCCATTCGAGGAAATTAGTATAGGTAAAACATTACAACAAATATCGATTAATACAATTTTTCAAAGAATTATTATTTTCAATTAGAAGTATGCATAACTCGTTTATTTTTAATCTTAAATTATTTAAATATTATTGATTCGAGACTTCTGTAAATATATTTTGTTAATAAATAACATATTCATACTTATGTTTGAATTCGTTCCAGTAAATTCTTGAAATATACTCATAAAGTTACAAAAAAAAGAAACAATAATAGATCTATAATTAATAGAAAATCCGTATTTTTCTGCTTAGAATTCGTTTAACATTTATATTTAATTCTAATGTATGCTTTAAAATTTCTATTTTCAAGTTAAAGAGGCTGTAAAACCACATCAACATAGATCATAACGTGCACAACACTAAACGACTCAAACCAATAAAGTCTTTTCGACTTGTTATTTGACAAAACACTAGCTGATTCATTGAACAAATACCATAGTTTTAGTTATTTTCATAACTAGTCTTAATCCTGATATAAATGAATGAATCAATGAAAAATGGAAATTTAATTTTGAAATTAATTCGCATCATAAATATTTTTCAAATTTGGAAAATGGCTTTTAGAAATAGAATTATAAACCATTAATATTTCAAGTTATGTCGCACTATCCATGATTCCGTGGACGCCTGTTCGAATCCTGGTCAATCTAGGCCCTTTGTGCTTGCAGTAAAAGGGCCATCGTTCATCATGAATGGACAGTCAAATGAAAGCATATGGACCTTCAGCCAAGTCGATGGACAATGACAGTATTAAGGATAGCAGCAGATACACAGAAAAAGGGAATTGTGGAATTGCAGAGAATCAATATACTGAAGTTAACCTACAAGACGACAGCCAACCAACAAATTACAGAAGAATATAATGGTAAAAACTTACATTGAGAAGCTTACCAAAAAAACAAATATCTACAGCCATTAGATTTAATTAAATATACGTTTAATAATTTAACAATATTTTGTCTGCAAAATGACAAAAATAATCGTTGAAACTCTAATTAAAATAGTGACAATTACAATTTACTTTTCAAAAGAACGAATAATATATTTACTATAAACTTCGTATTATTACTTTACTTTTATTTATCGATACGGTGGCATTAGGGGCTTTCAGTATTTGATGTGAAAGTTAATATCCGTATGAAGGTCGTCGGGTCGTCCCATTTCCCTAAAATCCTTTTCACCTTCGTGGAATGTAATGGAAGTGCGAGCGATAAAAAAAAGATCGGGGAATATTATCGTTGACCGACGTTACGATCCGATAAAACTTGTGTTTAGAATGTTGCCACCTGAAACACAATACTAACTGGACCTAATGCACACCACAAACCAATCAACGGATGGATGGAAATTGCATGTAATCAAATTGGAAATTACATTCGTGTCGCTTTGCATATTAGTGGTATTAATAATCATTGATCATTAGTTCGAATGGTCAGAAATGTTAGTGTTAATTGATTAATCCTTGACAGATTAACACTATATGTTTATATAATTAATTATTAAGTAATTTGCGAGTTTAATAATGTACCAATTTTAGCAATTACTTAATGCTTCGATCAATCCGGATTCTTTATAGTCCGGTTTGAAAATTTCTAAATAAACAAAATGTTAAAGAATTATTTGGTAGAATTATGCAGTTTTTTATACATTTAGATCCTTGATTAGTCCGGTTTATAACAGTTATTGAAGGAATCGATTACCCGCACTATGCGAGTAATAATATACATTTATTTCTTAAATAACTGGGCTAATTGTAAAAACGTCTTATTCGATACTCCAGAATCATATTTAATTAACATGGACATTTAGTTCCAGATTTTTATTTGAAAATATGTTTTTAACTGTACAAGAATTGGCTCAAGAACAAAAAGTAAAAAATAATAAGAATTCGGAATGAAAACGTGCTAATTTTGGATCGTGTAAATAAAGTACCGTGTTATTTAAATATTGCCGTATGTTTAAAAGTGAATTCAAATTTGTAAATTGTTTACAATTTTATTGCTTTTTACTACATATTTTGAATTGCATATTGATTGATTAATTAATTATACCACAAATGAACGCAATAAAACTCGATTAATTAATTCATTGAAAATAATACAATAGCTATGAAATTAATGTATTATATATTGGATTAAATTTATGGAGTTAATTTTAATTGAATGTCTGTACATTTTTCATTTGGAATCATACATTTTCGGCTAATTTTACAAAGTTACCAATATACAATTTGTAGTTAAATGATTGAAAATTTACGATTTCATTTAATTATCACTTAGTAATTAAACTACTAAAAATCTAATAGTTTGTTTCCAAAGTTTCTAACTAATAACTGTGAATTTGTTACTTTTTTATGTTAAGAGACACGTAGTAATTAACAGTACATTAGGATTTGCATATTCAGTGGCAAAGGGTTTACGGGTCATTGCCAAAATGGTAATTGTGCAATTTATCATTTGGAAAAGCAAATCTGATTATTTGCAGTGTTTTTTACACTCTGCATTTTAATTAATTAATTATTTCAATATTCCAACAACAAACGATATAAAACTTGTTTGATAATTAATTAAACATATAGCTATTGTACTAATTTGTGCTTTTTGTACTAATTCCATGAATATCATGTAAATAAATTGTTTCAACAAAATATCAATAGAGAATAAATGAAAATAATAGTAAAATATGAAAAAAAAAACATAAAATGTATTGATTTAAATTGTAGTTTATTTTAATAAATGTTAATTAAATATATTCATATACCTCGTATAGTGCGGGTAATCGATTTCGCCAATAACCCGTACTGTTTGAAACCACATTAATCGAGAACTTTCAAATCGCATAAATGAAATAAAGAGACTTTGTATACAGGAAATAAAAAAGGTGATTCATACGTAATTTTGTATACTAAATGTATTTTATTTTTGTTTAATCTAATCAAATTCGCACTATGCGAGAAAAAGCTGAATTTTGATTTATTAATTAAATATAGTAGAAAACCATACTAATTGGTTCTGAATGTAACTGAACAATTTTTTTATTAAATATACCAATAATTGTAAAGTTTAAGAGGATTTTAATTAAATTAACAAAACAAAATTACATTGATTCATGAGCTTTTTTTTTAATTGTATCCTTTTATTAAGTTACTCAATTTTATATTTGTTTTAATAAATATAGTTATTGTCAATAGATTATGAATAAAACCACTCTTTATAATTAAAAACTAAATTAAATTAACTAAATAATTAAATCGATTCAATTCTCGATTTGTGTGTCTGTCATGCACAGATTCTACTTGGATGATGATGATGTTATATGAACGTTATTGTTTCGTGAAGAGGATAATAACTACGAGGATCGTGGTGTGATGATGAATGATGAATATATAATTTTATGTTTTACTTTAAGATTCTTATTTCGATATTACCTGTTGGTGGTAGATGGGATCGTTAAATTCCTTCTTCTTGTTCTTCGGCAGACCACGACACAATCACGCGCCGCGCTATTCGCACACGCCGCCACCGCTGCTGCCGCTACCGCCTCCGTCGTTGCCGCCGCCTCCAAGTTTTAGCGCGCGCAGCCCACGTTGGCGGCGGCGACAACAGATTCCATCGGACCCCTCTAAATCAATACCAACATCGGCCGCTACCCTAACTTTTTAATATCACCAAATGCTTTTTCATACTTAAAAAAAACCATTAATAAGTCCACAAAGTATGGTCTTATGACATCAGATATCTTTTTAAATACGTGAATTATGGCACAGAAAGTTTGAACAGATCAAATGAAGAAGTAACATTACAAAAGTTTATATGAAATAACAAATATCGTTTATAAAGAAAGCTAATAATTTCATTTTTATAAACTATAAGTTACTGATTTTTGTTTAAAATATCAAACCATGTTTATATTAACAAGTAAATCGTTTTATGACCTTCATAAGTAATAAATTATATATAAATATAAACATTTCAAAATGTCAGAAACTTAATTAACAATTTAATTAAATTCATGGGTTTGAAACGTTTCTACGTTTATTTTGTAGTCCTATTATTATCCAGTAGATTAATTAATGTTTCCAGTTTATCACAAGGTCTGTTACTTACCTTTGTGATTGTGTCATCTGTAGCAATATTAAGATCCTCCTGTTGTTAATCAACTATAAATTTCTTTAAGAATTATATATTAGCAAATATTATGATTATCTTCATATTAACCTTGAAATATTTATAAACCCGCAACGTAATGATGGCATATTTTTATCGAAGAAGCTACAAAACCGACCCTTTGCATTTATTGGTTTCGTTTCCAGTGTTTTACAATGATGCACATATAAATAAATACTAGAGAAAGAAACAACAAGTAATGAATTAACATTATATACGTTTATCAATATTTTTGTCATTACAATTGTGCAATCAATCATATTTATTGAAAAGTGTAATAATTAACAAAAAGTTTAAATTGAAATTTAAAACTTAATTAAAAAGTTTTGAAGTATTATAAAGTTGTAATCAAATATTAATATTCCTAGAAAGTTTTATTACGAGAGAAATTTAACGGAGATATATAATGATTTTTTTTCTTATATAAACTTATGTACATAATATATCTCAAGTCTTTCGACGTATTACCGCTTCTCTGGTGCAGTCTTTTAAGCAATCCTGATGTTCTTTAAATATTCTAAATCTATATTTTTTGTAGAGGAGAAGAAACATTACATAGGGACAACGGGTGGAGTCGTGGTACTGTTCGATTCTTACTAAAACCTCTGAAGAAGGGACCTAAGCATATAGGTCCGTTGTTTTGAGATGTCTCTGCAATGCAAATTGTCTGAGCAAGATCTCTCTCTATCCTCCGCTCGTCATTTTCCTTGATAGAGAGCACCCTTGCTACGTATCTTGTGATGATGTCCCAATTTTCTTTGCTCTTCAGCATCTCGCCAACGAACGTCTCCGGTTCCAACACTTCTCCGAGATTTGATTTCGCCTTGTGCTTCATCGTCGCTCATCTGCAGCATGCAAAGAACGTGCTATCGTCTTCTTCGAAATACCAGCACTTTTTATCTTCCTTTCTAAGTATTCTAAATTTATTAAATAATATTTTTATATTCCATATATTCAGATCATATGATTATTTTAGTACATTTAAGTAAATCCTTGTGTTTGTTTTGACAATTTAACTATAAAAGTATATGATGAAAATTTTAATGTGTTTAATTTAAATTATTCACTATACATATTTAAAACTTTAATGAAACATTTTAACGCACATTTAAAATACTATTCGGTGGTTCATTAACGAAACTACCATGGAACATTGATTAGTTAAGTTGTATTTAAGATCTTAGATATGTGCCTTCTAAATATTAGATCTGCAAAAGGAAATTAGGAAAGTTCTCTATTTTATAAACAAAATAAACTTCTTAGCCCAAAACTACTACGGATTAATAAATAACACATAAGTACCATCTATGGGTCAATTATTTTTTATTATTTAATTATTTTAACATCATTTCAAACTGATTATATTGCCCAAAAACGGTCTGGGCATTTTTTTTTCAAGTAGAACCAATTTCTCCTATTACTCTTTTGCATATGTCACAATACAGTACTAATTTCTTGTCACTCTTGCTTGGACAAAAATAAATACCACTTTCTCTTGGATGTAGGAATTCCTTAATTAAATTGTGTTTCATGCAGTATTTACAATCATAAATCTAAGATTTCGGAGATTCTTTTGGTTACACATTCGATCATGGTCACACAACGCTCGTCCTAGTTGTTTTATCAAAGAATACCTAGACATTTTCTTTTCCCAATAGTGAAGACAAATGAAATAAAGTATTTGGCATATTTTTCATCGAGTGCATCCACGTCTAGTTTAGTACTATTAAATCAATGTCAGTTTTTTTAACATTAATTTTAGTACATTTACTTAAATGAACTAAAATTGTAATAATATGCACTGAATATATGAAATATTGAATTCTTATTTAATAGATTTATTTAAAGAACATCAGGTATACATAAAGGACTGCAGCAGAGGAACAACAACATATCGTAAGACTCGAGATGTATTATATAATAAATGTACATAATTTTATATAAGAAAAAAAAATCATTATATGTCTCCGAGAAAACTAAATATTACAATTTTATAATACTTCAAAACTTTTTAATTAAGTTTTAAATTTCAATTCAAACTTTTTGCTAATTATTACACTTTTCAATAAATATGATGATTGAATGCACAATTGTAATGCATAATGGGTATAGGAATTAATGTTTTTTTTACCAGTATTGAAACCAAAATTATTTCACTTAGAAATCCAAATTTTGATTATATTTCAAGAAAGTATTTGCTATAGACGTAACCCCAAATACACTCTACAATAAAATAAGTACCTCTCGCTGCGAAATACTAGAACAGCTAGAAGGTCAACCACCACAATCCAATTACAATAGAATGCAAATGAAAACAAATATCAGATGGGTCACTCTGACCCATCCGTAGTACTTACAGATTAAACATAGATATTGTATATCTTTGATAGGAAAAACTAATTGAAACAAAGTACACGTTCGATTTAATTGTAATTTACTTTAATTAAGACACGTTGTTCTTATTGTTTACATACTGGGTGATGGCTAGTAAATACTGGATGGATCGTGCACCTGGATGGAAAGCCGAGAAGGCCCTATCGATATCCTTGTACGTCTTCTCATCGAACCACTCCGGAGTCTTCGTTGACGTAAAAATACTTTTGGATAGCTTTTGGAAATGATTCCAATAATCCAAAGCCGCCTCCAGTAGTCTGCTGAGCGAAGGAACTGTTGCGCTTCCGATCGTTAAAGGAGATGTCTCCCAATCCAAATTCACCGTCGCATTTTCGAACTTGATCAATGAATTTCTTACTAATTGATTTGCTTTATCCACTTTATCACTACAAAAAAAAGTACAATTAATCAAAGAAAAACATATACAACGCATTTTTTTAAATCATAGAAAAAATATTTTCACTCAAACCTTTTTTATTTATCATATACATTTTAAATGAAAAGAAAGTACACTTATTATAATAAAACTGTTGAATTAATATAATATTAAATACATTTCATTAGATATATGAAAATATCCAGGATTATCTTAAAATGTTATTATTTTTTATTGAAATCCTCTCAAATAATATTCTCGTATTCTCATGTACTTGAATATAACATTTTCGTGCTTCGAAATAAATATAACGTTGAAAGCTATATTCGCAGCTTGGTGGCCTTTGCATCAGCTCCCCTTTTCATCCATATTAAATCAAATTTACACCTCCAAAGTTTCTCGTACACATCCTTATATTAAGGAACTTTATTCTCAAGACATCAACAACTTTGTTATTTTATTTTTACCTTCACAGTTCAAGCATAATAAACTCATGAAATCTATACTATTCAACACCATTCATACACAAATTATTTTTATTAGATATTTTCAAAATACAATTATGTTTTATTGAAAGGAAATCTATCAATTCATAAATTACTCATTAATTGAAAGACAGATAAGTGTAAAAAATACAAAATTGTATTTATATATTTTTTTATGAAGATAAAATGAAAAATTAATTAAGTTTATCTTTAGTCCAACTCATAGAGAATACTTACAATAAATCCATTAATACAATAAAGTCTTCCTCGATCCCATTTATAATTTCAGACTCTAAATCGCTTTTGGCCTCGACGAAATTATCCATTTTCTTGATATTAGCGCTGCAACAAAAGAATAATAAAAATACAAACTTTTATACTTTTTATTATTATTATAAATTTGTTATATATTTTCACCTTAATATTCTAATTAAATAAAGAATATTAGAAGGTACAAAAGTGGGTAAAGAAAACAGTTAAAATTACTAGAATTAAAAATTGACGTACGAACAAAGTTTGAAAGAATGAACACAATTATTGACTGAAAAGTTTACAATACTTCAGAACTTGATTTTGCAGCTGGAAATTCGTAGGAAATAAAAAATAAATGAGACCATAAACTGAAGTAGGGCTGCAACAGTAGATAAATAGAAAGGCAATTGAAATAAAGCAATATTGCACGTAGCATTTTATTAAGCAATTTATGAAACCTTCATGAATGCTTTTATGGACTCGTTAAAATGTCAATTCAGAATTCATGTAATTTACTGAAATATTATAGAATTTTAAAATTCAATATATTTTAATCAGTATTAGAAGAATTTCGTGTAAAAATGTTACAACTTTGACACATTCTCTTTCAGTTATTACAGATATAAATTTATTTTGCTTTATTAAAATATAGTTTGTTCTGAAATTTCCAAACCGGACTATAGTGAATCAGATTAGTTCGCTTTATGTGAAATATAACATTTTTATTGTCTACGATAATACGTGATAAATCTATGTAAAATCAGAAAATTTATAAATTAGATCATTCGACAGACTGTTTCAGTTGATTGGTCATAAACAAGATTATAAACGAACTATTGATTCTACGAAACACTGGCTAATAATTGTGCTGAAATCACGTACACCGTAATAATATTTACCCGGACGTACGCATTACAACCTAAATCCCATCACGGACATTCAGAATTTTCGAACAATGTGCGTTTTCTATAAACAAAATCCTGATTACCAACAGATTTTCATAGCATATTTCACTATTTTTTCGATTCTTCAAATTCACATAAAATTTACCACATTTAAATACTAAAATGACACAAATAATATTATATAATTATTATTATTATAAGATACATTGATTTCATAACAAATCTAATCGTGCAAAAGTAAAAATATATACAGCAAAACCGGACTAATCTATGACTATTTTTTAAAGGTATTCAAATTCAGATTAGTATAATTATAATGATTTCCCACCAACTGCAATCAATAATTCTGCAAACATAACTTACATCATTTATTTAATTGAAATAATAAGAAAATTTTCTATTGAAAATTGATTGTCATTATTTATTAGATTAAATTGTGGTTTCAAGTTTCATACATCGTTGATCATTATAATTCAGAGTAGATGCAAAACTTTGTGACGTGGGTCTCTTGTACAAGGATCAAGCATTGTTCGCAATTTTAAGCTGTAGTTTGGAGAGAGCTAAAACACTAATCATAGCATTACGTAAATGTGCGTTAGTGTTCATGTGTAAAATAAACACAAAACAAATTTAGACAAAAAATATACAAAAATTAACTTAATGTTATTTAAAATACTAATTAATAGATTGTTTAATTTCTTAGGAAGTAAATATTAAAATTTTAAACTTTCTTATTGAACCAAATAATAGTATTTGATATGACTACAGTAGGTTTTTATAGGGTTTTGTACATTTCTTCCTATACAACAACAAAAATCAGCAGATATTTTATAAAACTAACATTTTAATAAAAACTTATTTATTTACTTATTGTAATTTTTTTGCTATAAACTTATAATGTTCTATTAAAATAAGGATGTTCTTCAGATCTAAATAGAAAAAGTATATGTTTTCTTGGATTTATGTATTGTATTTAATTTTAAATATAATATAGATTTTAAAATATATTTTGATATAATCGAAGTCAGAAATAAGTCTTAATTTTTATAATCAATTGGATTAAATCTTTAAAGGTTTCAGTTTATTTTTGACAAATAATATTATAAATCTATCAGTTAGAAATTTTTAATATGATTATACTGTTACATGGCTGTACACAATTAAATAATGTCCTGAAAACACGTACTTGATAAAAGTATTGTTACTGAATTTACAGTATTTCATAGAATATGATTTGAAAAATAAAATCTGTTTATTATTTAATGTTTACAAGTACAGTGGAACCTCGCTTAAGAAATAACGAGTGACTATGAAAATAAGTGTATTTTTAATATATTTCACTATACGAGTAAAAATCCGGAAATTTTGGAACGGATTAAACTCGTTAAGCGAGATTGCACTGTATTATTAATCATATTAGAATCTGGATGAAAATTATACAAGTATCCAAGTAGGCAACCAAAGTTGCTGATATAAGAATTAAAAGCATACTAGTTTTACATAAAACTATTATATAATAATTTCATTCATAAACAATCCAATGAATTATTAATGAACTATATAGATCAATCATGTTTACATACCCATGGATAAGACATAATTGCTGCCCTCTGTTAACAATGCCGCGTACTATCGGTTCCGCTTGCTGCATTACCAACCTCCATTTTTCCACGTGCTCGGGCAACGTTTGACAGAACGACGAAAGATTTTTCAGCACAATTTCTTCGGCCTCCATCACTTGTGTTATGATAAAAAAAAGTATATATGTAATTAAAACACTATTGTTCTATCCACGAACAATTATCATACTTCGTTGAATATTGAAATACGATATTCACGTAATGCAACCTTCACTCGAATCATTCAATGTAAACACTATACATAACGAACAAGACTGATACAAATCTGCACTTTACAGACACCACGCATTAGTTACACCTCATTCTTGGTGCAATATCATGAAATATATTAACATAAAGTTTTAAATTATTTAATTTATTGTAATATATGAATTGATATGAAAAATACAATAGTAATCTAGTAAAATTACTAAATCTTGATAGACCTTCACATCACATCTTTACATCACATCACATTAGTAAATATATATTTTTGAAAGAAAACATAGAAACATATATATTTTTCGGTAAAGAATTATTTTTTTAAATTAAGAAACTTAAATGTAAACAATTGACTATAATAACTAAAAGCAGTTTTCTTAAATTATTAGGAAATTATATAAGTTGAGTCTGTTAATCAATTCTTCTATTTCTTAAATGAATATCATTCTCCTTTTCGTCTCAAATATAAATTTTGTTGTATTTTGTTATATTATTACTAACATACGATTCTAAAAATTATTGCAAAATTGTGTGCACTAAATTAAAAAGTGTGCATTGCGTGAACTCGTAAAAGCATTGTATTAAATTTGCGTTTTAAAAATAAAACATAAAACACTGCTACGCAATCGATTTTCAAATGAAACATGTAATAAGGTTAAACAAAATATCATGAAGGTTACAATGAGAAAGAAACAAACAATTATTTCAATACATTAATCTATTAATGCGGTTTTGATCAGTCCGGTTTAAAACAAATTAATGTAAACAAAGTCCTTTTTGTGTGGTTTATTTCTATTTTATTTAGTTCCTCGAATTGTGCGATTTCACATCATATTGGCGAAACCGAGTATCCGTACTATGCGAGGTATTGCTGCAATTAAATGCGTCGTAATGTTAAATAGCGTTGATTAAAAGTAGAAACACATTTCTTGTTTATTAACTAAAATAACTAATTCAATATTCTACTTTCCAATTAAATAATTACTGCACTTACTTCAACGTTAATCCAGTTTAAAACGCGCGCATATAGAATTATTATGCACGTGATGATGGGACGTTATTAAACGCGTTTGAAAACAGGGTCACAACTGAAACTAGTTGAAATAGTTCTGTTTGCATTTAACTTCAATATTTAGGTTGTCTTCGTCAAAAGTTGTTATTCACTTCCTGTCACACTTGATTGATATATTCAAAAGGCATTTAATCTTAATTGTAATTAAAATTTTCGATTTACTTACTTATAGTGAAATATATTAAGTTTATACCTTCATTATAATTAATGTATTTATCTGTGAGTAGAGTAGCTTTCTTTCCGTTTTCGTTTTATAAAAACAAAATTAATTTTGTTAATAATTGTTCGTTCATTCTTTTTGACCCAATTTTAATCAAAATTATTTGTTTATGGTCGATATTTCCTTTATAATCTTACAAATAGAATAGTACTCTTCTAGAACTTTGTGAAGAATCACGTTAACGATCTCATGGTCAATTAGGAAAGAAACTGTTATTTTCTTCATGTATTTATTTAGATTTAAACAAAGTAAATACTTTTACTTGTATTAATAAAAATTGTCCCACACTTCAATACTGAAATAGAACAACCAATGATGAATTAGACAAATTTACACTATTGTATATAAAACTGTTTTTTTTGACAATCAATTCAATTTATTAGTTCTTTATATTTCAATTTCATCAACAAAATTTATTATAGAGTATATAGAAGTCTATAACAGAAACGTATAGCTTGAGAAACAGCTTTAGGTTGCAACCCAATTGGATCACGTTAAATTTCTAATGGTCCGCGAAATCACAGCGAAAAAATACGCGATGAAATACGCTTAGGAATTGGGTAGTTGTACAAGTACAAACAAATATGTGGGACGCGCGTCAAAAATGTTGAGAAACGCTGTTATAGAATGCCAACGTTGAGTAACACTCGTCTGTAGCTTCATGGCAACTTCATTGTCAACCTTCAGATTAATATCTGAAACAAGAGAAATCTCCAGGATTATTTCTATGTAATCAATTTAAAGAAGTAGTCTTTATTTATTGACTTACAATCTTAAGTAATTTAGTCTTCACTAAAAGTTGAATACTTATATAGACAACCCATTAATAAATATCATAAAAAAAACATTTAAATTAGTAAAATATTGTCGAAATTGATTAGTGAACTTTATTTTGATACAACAACAATAAACAAAGAATTGTTTATATTATTGCAAACAAAGAATTATGGCATTATAGTTATCATTTTAACTATTTATTATACAAAAGAATCGTAAGCAACGAATTTGTGTAGTTAATTATTTAACGAAGAAGTGTTCGAAGTGCGCAGCATGCGGGTTGCCGACCCCTGACCTAGCTTAATCATCGAGGGTTGCCTGAAACAAGGATTCACTCGTTCATTGTTAAGGTTTCCTTATACAATTTCAGCTTCAAAATTGGAACCGACGCAATCATTTACATTTATCTATATTTATCTAGTTATCTAATAATCAAATGCTTCAAGTATTTGCGTGTGGTAATGCAAACATTATTAGTTTTTTTTACCCTATTTTCCTTGATTTCTCAAAATCAATATTTTTGTAACAACATATTTACAAAAACAAACTTTTTTCTATTTTCGTAATATATTTATTAATTGCGATTCTATAATCATAATTAAAAATGTATACCAATAAAACAATGTTTATATTTAAAGTGACTTTTATATTACATCAATGTAATTACTTTATTTAATTATAACAAATTAAATATATAAAATATGTACATATTCTTCGTGTAAGTTTTATGTTTCTTGATTGCTACATTTTGTAATAATCCTGCAAGGTAAGTAGCAAATTTAAACATTATATTATGGTAGAGTATTTACCCAAAATTTTGATCTTGAAGACTTAAGTTCAAAGTCTTAATAAAGACGAGATAGTTAATATTTTTCTGAATATTGATTACAGTTTCCAAGTAAAACTTTATGCCATTAAGAATCTTTGACTTTTTTTTATGGAAGTTAGGTTACTTTACAAATGAATATATTAAAATAAAAGTATTATTAAGCTGAAGGTTTATTACTCAATACAAAATAAATTAGATGATGATTTAAAAATATTAATTGGAAATCGTGAGCGTAAGTTAAGGGAAAAACTCTGGATGGGAATTTCGAATGAGTCATATCAGTAAGGTGCTGCCATATGGGCATGCCCGTCTCTCCTATCGATTCTCCTGGATCCTATGATGCCGACAACAATGCGCCCCCCGGCGCCGCCGCCCTCACCGTAGCCGCCTCCTCCTTCTCCTCCTCCTCATGCGACGCGCTGCCTTTTTTTAACTCCCTTTTAGCGTGAATTTCTCACTCTCCTCCACCGCCAAAAATAAAAGTTCCTCGTCCGTTTCCGCGAGACCTACTTTTGCGATTGCGCCGCCTCGCGCAACATAAACAGATTACATTTCCAATTGAAAGCTTCGCGAGCACGCAACTTCGCGGAAGCCACAAAGTTACCACCAAGAAGATGATGTGCTTCTCCTTCGACTCGTGCTGAATCATTTTTTTGGATAACCGGTGTTCATCTCTCAACGATGGAAGCTAAACTGGCCGCAGGCATAGCTGCCACCGAGGACAGTCTTCTCCTCAACCCGTTCGTCCACCATTTGGAGCTGGAGACCACCTCGGAGAAGATCAAAGTAAGTCAACATCACAGACTCTTCACAAACTAGAAAGCAACGCGCGTGTTTATCCAAATAATACGCATTGCAAATAAACTTATCTACTCTATTCTTATTCTTCTACTAACTTCTTTAACATCTTCTTCAAATACTTCTTTTTAATTCTATTTCCATTCGAGAAATGTATGCTAAAAAAGCGTATAAAAAAATATAGACACATTTCTCCTCTCAACACTTTCTCCGCATTTTAACCTTCCGAGGCGCCAATCTAAGAAAAGAAACTTCAAAACGCTAGAGCATCTAGCAAAAAAAAATATTAATAAACGACCGCATCGTTAATAAACCATGCGTGTTTCCTATGCAAATTGCCCGTACCTAAAATAATCTACAATGCAATTGGAGAGAAAGTTTTTTAATATTTCTCTTTTTTTTTTCATTTTGTGACCGTATGCATGTGCGTTTGTGGATGGAATGCTTTCACTTCGGTTCACTGACCACAAAAAAAGAGTAATATAATTCAAAGAATTATTATATATCATCATTAGAAAATGTAAAGCAGGCAATTAATGTTGAAACGCGAGCTCTCGTTTGTTCGTCGTTTTGTTTCTTCTATTTATTTTGGGTTTGAAGCATAAAATTTGTATCGGCTTATAAAAGAAAATTGGGTCGTCGGAGAGGAAATTGTGTTTTGCTTTATAACTTCTTCGTATTATTATACTTTTTTATTGCTGTTGTCTTGGTTCAAACCATCCGTTGCATGGGGAGATCCGTTAGAACGTCGATCTTCGTCAGGCANNAAATGAACATTAACTGTTTGTAACTCGTCATTTAATTTACTAAAAGAAATAGCAAATACATGAGAATTATGTGAAGACAAAATCAACGCAAAATTGTTGCCATAAAACCAATTGATGCAAGTAAAATAAATCAGATATCAAACTTTAACTTTAAAGTGAAAACACGTGATTTTGAGTTATTTTTTTGTATTTTTGAGTTTTTTTCTATATATTTTATTAAATTATTCTTAAATATCACCGCAATTGAATAACAATAATATTTTTCACAGCAGTTTTACATAAATGAGTAAAAAAAATAAATACATGTTTAAGAATACTCGATCACAATAAATAATTATCTGTTACAAAGGACTCGAAATTAATGAATCAAAAGAAATTTCTTTTTATGTTGTAATAGTTTTATTCACAAACTGTTCATCAATGTGAACATTGAGTAAATCGGTCGCTTAAATGGATAAGCGATGGATTTGTGGATTGTTACCATAACTATGATTTTGAACATTAATATTTACTTAAATAAAATAAATATATATATATATATATATTTTTCATAGAATTGCTTTATCTAAGTAACGAATTGTCACAATTTTTATCACGTATTTTTTGATTGATTCAGCAAAACGATGATTAAAATTGATTTTAACTGAACGTGATTATATAAAGTAAAATAAATAATATATAAATTCATTTCTCATAATAAACACGTGCTTTTATCAATATAATATAAACATTTGTCAGCATAATTGTGAGATAGTGGTGACTCATTATTTATTTAATATTATGTATAAATAGTTACATATTCACAAATGAAAATCGTGCTTTAACTGCTTTAGAAAACTCATGCTAATTGGATTTGAATCGTAAAGTATTAATAGTTCATTCTCAAATAGAAATTAATAAAATAAAATCAATCAATGTATTTAATTTATGTATGTAATAAATTATAGTTTTTATTACTATCAATAAACAATCTGAATTAATAAAGATGTGCGTGTAATTGTTATTTATCCCGCGCTATTTGAAACTGGACCAATCGAATGAACTAAATACTGTAGAACCTCGCTTAACGAGTTTAATCCGTTCCAAAATTTCCGGATTTTTACTCGCAACGTGAAATATATTCAAAAATACACATCTTCTCATCCTCGCTCGTTATGCGAAAAGTCGCTCATTTTGCTCGTTAAGCGAAATGCTCGTTATGCCAGGTTCCACTGTACATACAAAAATCAACCGCACAAAAATAGACTTGGCTAAAGAGAAAAAACGATTATGTAAACAAAATATGTTATTTTTATTTTGTGAATTAAAATTTCGTTTATTTTGAAATTTTCAAACCGTACTATAGTAAATCCACACTTATCAAAGCCGTACTATGTGAGGTATTGCTGAATTGCATGTAGTTTTTATATTGAAGGAATATACAAGTTTAAATTGTAGTTTTCTTCTAATCTTTCTACTAAAATCGCAACCTTAATTAGTTTCTGGGAAATCTTTATAAACAACAAATTTATAATTTTTAAAACTTTCTTTTAACAATTGTAGGTAGTTAATAACAGTTTTGACCTTTTGAATAAAGAGAGATGTGCTATGAGAAGAATATAGGAATTAAGATTAAGACGTAATTGTACGAAATAATTAAATTCCAAATGAATCCATAAATAATAGAAATTTACTGGATATTACGAATTTTATACATTTAATATATAGAAAAGTTTATAAATGATTGTAAAGTTACGTGTTCATATGTTGCATATAAAGGCGTGCAATAAAAACGTGTTATACGTTTAATTTACATACAAAAGGCGTTTTCTTTATTGCCCTATGACGATTGAATGTATTGAAATTACGAATGCAGTCGACTTATAGATAAATTAACAATTGGTTATTAACAAAGAAATCTTTATGTAAATAATTAAATCTATGTTTTATTATTAATTAAATTAATCACATTATATGATAAATTACTATTCTCATCAAAATTTGGTTCTAAAAAAAAGAGTTTTTCATTTGATATTACTCCAGTGTTTCTCAACCTATGGGTTGCGAAATGACAGTTGTCACCTTGTGATAAACAGAGGAACTCGTGAAATTACAATAACCAAATATGTTGGGTTGTGTGACAAAAAGGTTGATAAACGCTGATTATAATATAAGAATATTGTATCTTATTTAGTTAATAACTCATGTGATTTAATAACTTGTGTATTGCTAAAACATTTTGACATGAATTCAATTTGTAAAAAAAATAGTTGTTTGTTTTCCATATCTAAGTGACATAATGTGACACATATTATCGATGGTGGAGCATATGGAACATCCGCATAATGCCCGTAATTTGATTAGCACGTAGTCCATCTAACTTCCTCACCTCAATGCACATTGTTCTAGTTTATTGGAGAGGGTTGCTGTTATGTTGCAAACACTTGACCCATTTTCCTTTCGATCTGTTTCCATCGCAGATAATAAATTTGGCACAGGGATGAGCTTCATACCTTTATTGCACTCCACCTCGATAAACCAGATATATCGAACGACACCGATTTCTTGAGGCCCAGGAACCGGAACGAATCAAAATTTAACGACGCAACTATACAAAAGCAATCTGCAGGAAAAGGAAAGAAAAACCGGTTCGACACTTGTTTCCTTATAGACACGTCGCATCCAATTCCGCAAGGTTTTGTCCAGTCCGGAATACTTTCCTTTTTAAATCACACGTTATGTCAGTCGCATATATTTAGGAATTCAAGTGTTTTTTTTTATGTTACTCCTTCTCGCTGGGAAATGCTTAGAAACTGAATACATGCAGAATTATTTATAAATATAAAAAGCATCGAGGATGTGAAATGCGGAAACGGTGTACCAATTCATCTTTGGGTGAAATTATAGCTTTATAATTAATGGAGATTTTTATTTAATGAACTTCATTTGTACTGAAAATTACAACAATAAAAAAAACTTCGCAATGACATAAGTATCTAGGAAATAAATCTTATAAGAAGTTTATGAAACCTCCATAATTTAGAGAAAATAAACCAATTATAGAATACAAACAGTATAACATTCGAATCGCAATAAATGATATGCAATATTCGTAATTATAGTTAATCAAGCTTACAAATTGACTGTAATTGAAGTTACTATTAAATATCCATTGGTAATTTTGGATTTATCAATGAAATATTACAAATAAATATTTATTATCTCCATTAGAAAATACTATGATATTATATATCTCACGCTATAGCTAATTATCTGTAAATTATTCTTCTTTCGCAAATCATTTAATCATTTTTTTTAGATTATGAAATTCAATAAATAACAAACAAAAAATACCATTATTTTCATAAAACCATTAACTTTTCTGTATTGCAATTGCTTTCCAATTATGATCTTCAATTAACCCAATGTGGCTTTTATTGCTTTCCAATAAAGAAACAATGAATTAGATAATAACCGTTATATTCATTTCTTTCTCTGATCTTTCTTTCCTACAACTATTTACAACGTAACTAAATTAATAGAAGCGTTAAAATAACACAATTATGTGTATGATAATGGTTGTTTGAATTAGTGAAACGCAATGTTCTTTCATGTTCAATTTTTATTTTCATTAGATAAGTCTTGAATGTAATTGTGCTTATAATAAAGGTAATTTATGTCCAATGTACAACAACAAAACCGTTCTTAGATTCGATAAATAACAGTGAATCAAATCAAACGAATTGTAATGCAGTTTCTCTTGGCGAAGCGAAAACGCACGGACGGTTTCTGATTACGTCTTGGAAACTGGATTTAATTGAGCTGCGGACTTCCCGGAAACACGAGGAGATGGCAAACCACCGCAAACTTTGTGCGTCTTTACGGAGGCACACGGCTGTGAGAGAAAAGAACGTTACGTTGCGAATTAATGATTAGAAAGCTCGCACAAATCCACGCGCATCGCAATCATCATTGATTAATGCATTTTCTGATGATTGATTGTTTATCAAGTTAAGCTATTTAAAATAATGCTTGGAAAATGTCACGAAAAAACAACGAAATTAAAACGATATCGTTGATTGCGATGAAAGTAATTGTAGTAAGGTTTGAATGTTTATCTTTAAGCGAGATGTGCTTACACACAACATTTGCTCAAGGACATTTGAATCCTTTAAATGCTTTTATTTATACGTTTTGTAAAGTAATTATGAAGAATTTGCTGAGATTAATTTCTTAAACTTTAATAGCAAGATGTCGCAAATTGCTAATAAAAGCCACGTAATTTGAATATAATATAAAATCTATAACCTAGATATATAGAAAACAATTATGAAAGATACTAAAGAATTTGCAAATTGAAACAGCTGATGTTAATAGAAACGTTATTATTATCTATACTTATAACATTTGATTAACACCTTTCTATTAAGTAATTATACCTTGTTTTCTAACACCACAAAATATATTAAATAGTATCAGTCCAATTTAGCCAGCTTCTTATATAAGATAAACAAAACTTCAAAGTATTATTAAGAATGTTAACTATTAGTAACTTAACGTTATGTTATGCTTAAAAATACTATAAAAATTAGTTTAAAATTATATTTTTAATCTATATTTATTGATTAAAAAGCAAAATACAATTAGTTTTGTGAGTATTTGGAAAAAACATGATTTTTAATTATTAAATTTATAATCAAGTTATTTATGAGAGTCGTTGCTTAGTAATAAATTTTGTTTTATTATAATTAAGTTATTTTATAATATGGTGTTGTTTACGTTTACAGAATGTTAACAGTTGTTGAAATTGTTCCAGACTGCATTCCTGACGATCGTATTGCTCCCAATTAGAGTGTGTCTAATATGCATCTTATTGATTGTTGGATGGATGTTGGCGTGTCTAGGACTTTGGGGTCTCACAGAGCAGGATCTTCAAAAACGACCGGTGACAGGATGGAGGAGGTACGTTCAATTGCTTTCCCTCTGTTGTTCCTTATTTTCTTTCATTTTATCTGTTTTCTGGATACAATTAATATCGATGCATGCATGTGAAATCAATAATTGCAATAATACAGCATGTTTTCTACGCATCCAATTCGAAGCACCGAAACAAAAGAAAACGATCACTTCTAATTAATTATATTGGGTATACATATATAGCAAAGTAAAGGTGGTGGCTTCGTATCCGGTGCTGTGGATGTTCTATGTGGGTGGTTTCCGGGTGAAGGTAATAGGTCGGAGGGCACCTAGATGCGAGGCTTCGGTCATTTCCTTGGCCCCGCACTCCTCCTTCACGGATAGCATAGCTATGGTCTACCTAAATTCCCCTTCGATTGTGGCCAAGGGCGAAACGGCCTCCATCCCATTCTTCGGCAGTATGTATACTAACACTGACTAATTCTTTGCGGACTCTGTGAAGGTGATCAAATCTTGTACTTCCTTACACCTCTCTCTCTTTTATACATATATATATATATTTATCTATTTCACTATCTCTTTAACTATCAATATATATCTTTAAGAGTCTTACATTTAACAATGAACTGTTGTTGTTTTTTTTTTTGGATTTTTACTAGGACGTTAACAAAATGGTTGTGCATTCTGGGGAAGACCACTTACAGGGCTGGTGGGATGCACGTAGTTTTCAAAGGAAAACAGGCGTCCCGCGAGGAAGCCCCGATTTTGGTCATAGCTCCGCACTCTACCTTCTTAGACGGCGGCATAGTCTACTATACGGGATTCCCTTCGATTATCGTGAGGCGAGAAAGCGGCGACAATCCATACATAGGAAGTACGCTTTGATCACTTTCACTCGCACATCCGTATATACCTCGTCTATTCAAGATCCGCATGACTGTATACATTTTTTTCTCTTTCTTTCTATATCTTCTAAATATCCTCAGAGTTGATCAACTTTACGCAACCAGTTTACGTATGGCGCGACGATCCCGATTCCCGTCAGAATACCATCAAGGAGATCATAAGTCGCGCCACTTCCAAAGAGGACTGGCCGCAGATCTTGATCTTCCCGGAAGGAACGTGCACCAATCGATCCTGCCTGATTACCTTCAAACCGGGAGCTTTTTATCCTGGAGTACCAATTCAGCCGGTCTGCATAAGATATCCCAACAAATTGGATACAGTTACCTGGACCTGGGAAGGACCTAGCGCGTAAACTTATGAATGCAACTTGCTATTTCCTTCACATAAGCATATCATTTTCATTTACAGCTTAAAACTTTTATGGCTTACTCTGACACAAGTGTACAGTTACTGCGAAATCGAATTCCTCCCAGTCTATACGCCCAGCGAAGAGGAAAAACGAGACCCAAAACTTTTCGCCAGCAACGTTCGAGCAGTTATGGCAAAGTAATACTATTTTACTAAGTTATTTACTAAAGTTACGTTCAAATAAAATCTTGATTCACTTTTATTAAGTATCTATAACATGGAACTTTTGTGAAATAAAAGCTAATATTTAATATTATAGGGCTTTAGGAGTACCTGTTATGGACTACACCTATGACGATTGCAAATTGATGACAAGGGCGAAAGAAATGAATCTCCCTAACGCAAATGTGATCGTTGAAGTGCAGAAACTGCGAACGCGCTTAGGGCTTGATCAGACGAAAATCGAGGAATGTTTTATAGAGAATCTGAGTTGTCAAGATTGCAGCCAAATTTCGTACGTGGAATTTTCTTCTTATCTCAATGTTGCGGCGAATGATGGTAACGCGCAACGCATCTTCAATCTATACGAGAAGGTAAATATGTTCTTTGGAAGTCTTCCAACATGATTTACCACATTATATTTTTGTTTCCAGAACAAAAGCGGCTCGATTGATTTCCGGGAATACGTTCTAGGTGTCGTCGGAGTGACGGAGAATAGGAAAACTCTAGAGATTCTCCGGCTAGCTTTCAAGGTATTATCAATATCTTAAAATTATCTGTGCTGAAACGTAGCGTTAAAATATTGAAATCCATTAAAGGTATCAATGCTATTTTTATTTCATGAGGTGATATTTCGCACGCGTGTTCTATTTCTGGAGCGCCTGTGGATATTTTTAGGAAGGCACGATTTGGATGATTTCATTTTCAGTCTCATAAATTAGGCGGAAACAATATTTATAAAATGTTTGTGTTACGTTTCAGATTTACGATAGCAGCGGTAAAGGAAGGCTATCTGAAAATGATTTTGTTCCAGTATTAGTACACACTTTGTCGATGAGCATTTACGAATCAAGGGAAATTTTTCAACGCATCGACTCTACCTGCCAAGGTTACGTCACCTTTGGTAACTATCCTTTATTACTGATATAATAACTATGATTAATGAAAATCAATCAATTGTAAACTAAATGAGTTATTTAACGTACGTTCGATATTACATACATTCGTATTTACAACCCGTTAAGCAAAGTAATGTACAGATATATGTACGAGAGTACAATGATCTTGGTAGATCTGCATAAATCATTTAAGTTGAATGAACAGATTTCAAATTTACAATAATATTTATGTTTTACAGACGGTTTCCTGCGTTATGCAGAGAAGAAGGCTGAATTCGCAGGACTGTTTAGTCTAAGCAAAGAGGAACTTAGGGAACGAAATAATAGTATTGTTGATAATAACAAAGTAAAATCGCATTGATTAATGAGAAGCATCGCATTATGCGACTCGTGTGTAAATAAAATTATATTTTGAGACCTTCGGCCTCGTAGAAGAGGACACTATGTACGTACCCTATACTACCCCGAAATTCCATTAAACAAAGTGAAAAATGTATTATTTATATTTATTGCCTACATTTACTGTTATTAACATTTTACTTTCCATTGTTATTTACTTTTACATGTAACGATAATATTTATTTTTCGAATTAGATCTGTAATTAATAACGAAAGAAATAAAATAAGAGAAACATATAGTAATAAGTATTTATTTTTAATACAAGAATTGAGAATAAACGATCAATTACAGGTGTGATACATGTGAGGTTTAAACACCAAGATTAAAGTAAAATAAAACCCTGGCAGTTCTATCTCGCTACTACTAACAGTAGAGAGCTTGGAATGAATTGGCCCCGAATCAGAGAACAAACAAACAAAAAAGAAGAAATGTAAATATGTTGTGCAGAATTTTAAGACCTAAAACTCCTAATCAGTCACTGACAAATAAAATAATAACGACTAGATTACAACTGTTCAATATTGCAACTAAAATATTAAGTTTGATAAATCGGTAGCGGATGCGCCTCAGAATTGATTACGAATTTATCTAGATCTAATAACTTTGTATCATCGCTAAATAACAAGTACAAATACTTTAGAGTTTCACTAAGAAAGAAGGATTCCATCATGTCCTTCGGACGAACGTTCGCCGCATTCTTAACGTTGCCAATTGACGTGTATCCGTTCGCAACCCTAGTATACTTTTCGAATGCTTGGAAAATCTGCCAGCCCCAATCCTGATAAGTGCTATTGCCTGTGAATTGGTACATGTACCACAGACTTTCGATGAACTCTGGTCGAAGAAGATTATGCGCATCGTTGCTCTTAACGTACATATCATTAGAGTTCTCGCCTTGGATATTGAAATACGTTATTTCGGGAGCCAAGAATGTAGGCTGCTGGGCGTAGGTTTGGTAGCACGTAGTGAGTAGCTCTTCGGCCAATTTCAAATGATCATTGGGAAGACCCACGTGCGTTCCGAGAGCCAAAGTACCGGGTAAGTAACAAGTCAAATGATCCATCTTCGGCTTGAAATCTTTCCCTCCGACCAACAGTTCACCTATAAATAGAAATCCGTTCGGCGCAGTCCTTTTGGCCAAATGTTTTTCAACACCTGATATAGCTTCCATATAATCATCTCTTAGGTAATCCATCGTTTTCCCTGTTTGCACCCATTGCTTCAAAAGATATTCATAATAACTATCTCCGCGCGCGCCGAGCGTAATTGTAGAATACGATCTAAACTGGCCTGTATTTGCGTTAATAAATATAGGAACTAAACCATCTGTTTTCTCCAATCCGTGTACGTGCCTCGAAACATTAGCAACAACTTTCTACAATAAAACATTAAAATATCTACAACAAAAACTTCCATTGATTGTTTCACCTCATATTTGGGGTTTCCTGATGCTCTACTTAAGTCTCTGAACTCCAATTGTATCGTGGTCACTTCAGAAGTACTACTATCCGGGGACCATTTCGGTGCGTGCGCTTTTCGAGTGAACAAATTGATGTCGGAAAAAGGCACACTGGACTCCGATTCGAAACAAGGTAAGAGTCTATCGCCCAAGTCTATAGCTTTATTAAGAAACATTCTATCGCCAGATAAATGATAAATGCTTAACAATCCTCCCAAAACGCGGATTGTTACCTCAAACAAATTAACATCCCTGTTAATATCAAAATGTAAATGTTTGTCAACCCAATCACGTGCCTCTTGAAATTCTAAAAGAAAATTAGTTTAGTATCAATATCTTTATAAATGCTCTTAATTTCTAAATACCATTTTTAAGTCCCATTATATAAATAGTATCTAGTGAATCTACAATGCTTAGACCTAAGCCAAACCAATCATGATAACCTTCAGATATGGGTTTCAGATGGTCATGACCCCATGCATAAGTTTTATATCCTTTCCAAGCATGCTTAAAAGCATCTATAACTGCTTCTTGTCTCTTTGTAACTTTACCTATAAAATATATTATTATAATTAAATATATGTATTTTATGATTAATCATTTTAAATTTACTAGAAAATATATGTGGACTAAGGTTATTGACATTGATGTCAACATTACGAGTATCTTCAGGTTCTTCTAACACATGGTTTTCCTGTGGACCTATATTTGGAGGCAACTCATTATCCACATCCCTTGGATCATTCCTCATATTCACAAGGACATCCTTTTTAGGAATTTCCACATCCTCAGGTTGATTAACCACTGAAGTTTTAGCATCATTATCTGTCACTACATAAAATAGGCCACATATGATAAATGCACCAAATATGTAAATGGTACTTCTTTGACACCGGGACAATTGCCTCCAAAGCTACAACAATGAAATGGATCAATGAATGAAGATACATCAACATACCTGCACTCACTCTTCGCAAACTTTTTGATTTCTTGGTTGGATCCTGATTATAGGAAGAATCTACATTCAATGTTATGTGGTCACCTCCTCTAAGTACCATTGTAAAAACACAATCAAGACGCTTTCATCTCTTTTTCTTAAAACATTTCATCCCAACTTGCTTAGAACAACACGTCCAAACACGTCGAATGCGACAAACCGTTTGACAGCTGTCAAAATGCATGTTGTTAACCATTGCAATATTAAAGTGCACTGATAGAATATTTTTCTATATCTGTTATTTACGTTTGATGAGATAAAGATAGAATTTGTATTCTATAAATAAAATGCAACGCAATTTATTCATTTTGAACGTAGAATAAACAATGAACTGACAGATGTCAAAAAAATATAAACATCTGTCACGTTGAGTGTGCTACAAATCTACAATTAGAATGGCATGAATGTAAAAAGTAAGATGTTTTTAAACATTTGCAATAAATAAAAATGCTCAATTATATAACTAAAACGGTAAATACTCGCAATTAATTTGGAATCATGGATATTGAAGTGCATCCATTGACAAATAACCCCACAGAAGCTTGGGCTGAGATATTTCGGTCCCAGAAGGTCTTCAAGCTGAATGTAAAAATACCAACGAAACCTGCAGAGCCAAACAAGCTGAGATTTGTATGTATGAGTGATACCCATTCACTTATACACAACATAAAGTATGACATACCAGAGGGAGATGTTTTCATTCATGCTGGAGACTTTACAAAATGTGGACAGAAGGAAGAAGTTATTGAGTTCAACAATTGGTTAGGTACATTGCCACATAAATACAAAATAGTCATAGCTGGAAACCATGAGCTCAGTTTCGACTCCAATTTTATCCATTGTTTTAAACAAAGCTCCAATTCAAGGCACACTGGATGCTTTGAAAATGAAGAAATCCCTAACTATGGAAAGAAGAACTCCAACATTGGTGATGCAGTTAAGACTGACAATATTAGGCAGTATTTAACAAATTGTATTTATCTTGAGGATGAATCCTATGACATTTGTGGTATTAAATTATATGGATCCCCATGGTAAAAATACCATTTTACATGAAATTTTATAGTACGTTTAAAATTATTTATTTTAGGCAACCTGCTTATGGCAATTGGGCTTTCAACTTGAGCCGAGGTGATGAATGCCTAAATAAATGGAATAATATTCCTACAGCAATTGATATTCTAATCACTCATACACCACCCTTAGGACATGGGGATTTTACTTGTTCTGGGGTGAGAGCTGGCTGTGTGGAACTGTTTACAACAGTTCAAAATAGAGTTAAACCCAAATACCATGTTTTTGGGCATATCCATGAAGGTAATTTCTATTTAAAAAACAAAATGCAATTTTTTTTAAATTTGTATTGTATTTCAGGTTATGGAGTAACCTCAGATGGTAAAATAATATTCATCAATGCTTCAACTTGTGACATAAACTACATACCAAATAATCCACCAGTAGTTTTCGATGTAGCTTTGCCTGCAGGTAGAAGTAAATAACTTCATTGTCTATTTATAAAAATGCGCTTTAATTTATTTTGTATAAGAAAAAAAAAGAATGATCATTTGTTTTGTAATTAATTTTTACTTGTAATAAACACAATAAGGTGCTCCACTACACTGCAAATCAGTCTCACTTGCATCATGAAATGAAAACATCTCAGCGTATCCATAAAAAAAAAGAAACAATGAGAAGAAAAACAGAGGGATAAACAATTGATTTGTAGTCATTTACTTCATAAAAAATTGTCAGAAATAAAATAGAAATCATAAGTTAACCTATTTGCTATGAATGTTGTGGTTGATGGTAATTTTTGTGGGTCCGCCTTCCCCAGAACGCCTCTAAATCGAATGGACGAAAATCTTTCAGTTTGATATTTTCCTGTTCGTTGTAATACTTGGTTGTGTTCTTATCCAGATCCTGACAAACTTTGGTCCATGAATCACAAATATATTTAATAAGTTCATCATGCTGTACAGCCGGAGGTTTCTCCATGGAGGGTACTCTGTGGATGTTGGGCGGTCGGCGGTTGTTCCCGTTCATTTGGGACATGTTGCTTCTTGGACCACTAAATCAAAACAACACAAACATATAAACAAACCACTGCTGATTCAGAGATCGCTTTGTTTCTTCTGCTCCGCTACTTTTCCCCATCGACGAATTAAGTAAATATTATGCTTACCTCATTTCACTATAGGTTTATGCTGTACGATTTGCAATGTATAATGTTCGAAGTGCAACTATCTTCTATACTATATAGAATCCAAATACAAATAACTACTCATTGGGCACTAAAAAGAATATAAACACGGAGCACCTTTGTGTTTGTGTCGGACGCCATCAATGCCATCAATTGTCAAAGTAGTCGAACCCAATTTTGCTGTCAAAATTTTTGCAAACTTTCAAAACTTGTTTTTTCTTTTCTTTATATTTACAATCAATATACTTCATAATAAATGATCTTTATTTAATCTATAAACTGCAATCAATTAAATTTAATATCCAAAAAATTGCATTAAAAGGCACAGCGCCTTCTGTGTCCAATAATTAGTACCAAACAACCGGTTTACTTGTATTTTCATAATTCTCTTATTAATTAAAGAATTAATTGTATATTCTCTTTGATGAAACTTTATAGCGCAATAAAAACAAGTTTCTGTATTAAAACATTCCTGATTGGTAACTAAATTATCATACGCATATTTTCTGCACATCATTTCTAGAACGTTTATTATTTTGCACATTGAAAATATATTTTATTATTTTAAGATCTTTTTGCTCTGAATGAGTAATTTATTGAATTGGTTGACATTAATATCTTGACCTTAAGATACTGTTTTTTTTAAATTTCAACCAATATCTTGTCTCTTCCATGAAATATAATTTCTTACAATTAGTGATCAAATCTTAAAAAAAGATGATTATGCATTTATATAAGAGTGATAAATTTATCTAAAATGATTCTACATGTAAATTATACAAATTCATATTATATGTTTTTCCTGGATAAATAAATAAAATTGCATCTTTAATTTTCAACATCAAAACGTTTAATATATCGAATCCATTTCCTCGTCCATATTTTGTAATTACATAACATGCTCGTATAATGAATTTATTATTATATATACACATATAAAAAATACACAAATTGGCATTATTGGTCATCAAACATCAATTAATATTAGGTCATTTACATGTAAGTTCAATTAATTTAATACTACTTGTGGTAATTATTTCGATATAGTATAGAACATCACACATATGTTTTTTTTTATGTAATTCACCTTTTTGGTGCTCAATATAATATATTTATATAAATGTTGGGCTTCTCAATTATAGACACTTTACTGTATCCTAATCACAAACTTTTCTGTATATAAGTAGTAGTTGTGTCGGTATTTGTTAAGCGCTTTACCTCTCAACAGTGATTTGTGTGAATGCGTGTGGAGTTAAGACTGTAGAACAAGTTATTTTCTGTCTGTCTAGAGTTTGTTTTTTTTATACATGTAGAAATGTATCATGCTGGTTATATTGAATAGTTTTGAAATATGCGTAATATTATAGATTATTTGCAGCCCTCTTTTATATCAATAGTTAATTGCAGAAACTTTCAGAAAATGCCTTCCAGTAGACTTGAAAACAAAAATATATATTTTAATACAATTATTTGAACATCAAGTGTGTAAGATTTATCTTTTTCTTACATAATAAGAATTTGATATGTGGAGAGTATTTTATAGGAAATAACTCTAGTTTTGAATTATAATATTGCATATTCTACTAGATAAACAGAACATAAAAATTGCATTTTTAGAATAAATCGAATGAGTTTTGTTATAATAATTTTGGTGATTTTTTTTTGTTTGCTTATTTTAAGCCATTGAATTTTAGGTACTAATGTTAATAAATATTATATTATAATATAGTTTCGCAATATTTTTATAAATATAATTGGTAGATAGCAAATAATAGGTAGTATCAAATATATATATTCTTGCAAAATTTAAATGTTATGTTCGAAAAATGTGTAAGTTTTAGGCGCGCGTTAAAGTGGAGTTTGCAAGCTTATATAGAAGTATACTTTACTTTAACGATTGAGACGTAATTGGAAAGAGCCTTTATACATTGTCTTTAATATGCGATTTGAGCGTTAATATATATTTATTAAAATTAATTATCATATTTTCAAATTCATTAATAACTTTGCAAATTTTGAATAGTGAGATCGTTCATGAAAATCATTTAAATTTTAAACTAATCTTAAAGTATATCGACATTCTTTTAGTTTCTTTACCTTATTTAATTTTTTTTTTGGAAATTTGTTTTTGAAGAAAAAAAATGACAGTAATGTAAATATATTGTTATAAAAAATTTGGAAAATATTGCCATGATTTTTGTTGCTGTTGTTATTAATATTTTTTTTCGCTTCATTTCTTCTTAATATATATACAAATTACATTGGAATCCGATCGCACTCTATATACGTTTGAATGACCCTGTAATCTCTTACTACACAATTATCAAAATTATTGCCGCAGAATTTTATGTCTTCTCCTGTTGCACGCAAACGACAAATGCCAAAAACGTAAACGTTCCGTTTCGCTCGATTCGGCCGATTTTCGTCGTTTAAAACTGGGTGGGACCTGAGTGAGACCCGGCCGATCCAGTGCCTATCGCTTAACACCCGAGCGTTTCCTCTGAAATCCATCATGTAATAATAATTGTTAGGTATGATGTAATTAGAGTAAGTTGCAACCGTGTTCGAGGCGTCTCCAATTTAGAGCACCGGAATTAGGGTTCGACATGTTGTCGCCCATGTTACAGGTTTTCGTGCGCATTATCATTAGGTCTGTACGAATGCTGGGTCTTCTTACATTGGGTGTCACCACTCCGCAGGCATCGCTCAGGCGTCTCTTCACCGATAGGGTGTACTTCTTCGGATGGTGCGAGGGCATCGGAGGTGGCAGAGGACAGGGAGAGCCAAAGTTGGCGCTCACTCGTTTGTGATGGTTCGGGGCCATCTCCAGAGGAAGATTGGCTACAACGAACAGCTCGTAGAAAACCTCATCCACATACAGATTGCGCTTCGCCGAAGTCTCTACGAAAACGCAACTGGAGTCCTGGGTTTCGCAGTAGGCCATAGCCTCGTCTACTGTCACAGTTCTAGGATTTTTAAAAAGCAATTATTAAATAAAATATTTCTTTCCACCACTAAAATTAAAAGTAACTCACTTCATTTCTCTATCGCATTTGTTTCCTGCCAAGACCATGGGTACCCTGGGCAACGTCTTCTTCCTGGTCAGACCTGTGCTCGAGGCTGCACCAGCGCTCAGTTTGGTTTCCAATATTTGCTCTCTGAGTCTGATCGCTTCTTCGAACGTTTCCCTGCTGTCCATGCTGAACGTTATTACGAATATGTCACCTAAAAGACAGTTTCAGATTTAGCGCAGGTGGAAATCAATCAATTAACCTGTGAGGAAAGAGAGCCGCCGCATTGCCGGGAACGGATGATTTCCAGACGTGTCCAGTATATCCAGCTGATGGATCTCCCCGCGTATTCTATAAAGTTTCCTATGGAAATCCTCGATCGTGGGGGTGTAGCTCTCTTGGAATTTACCACCCAAAAATCTGGACACCAAACTGGTCTTTCCTACTCTCGCGGAACCTGAAAATCGCGAATATTTTAGTTTGAACTTTATGACGCAGTTCGAAGTTGAATCGTACCTAAAACTACAAGACGGTAACAGTTCTTCTGCAGCGGATGAACGTCGTCACAGGAATTGGAGCTTCCCGGACTTGGATTGGGCCCGGACGATGCCGCCTGCGAATTGGTATTGTGCTCCTGCTTGTCCGGTGTGCAGGACTTCATACTTCCAGAACCAGGACACAGCCAGCTGCAACAACCCAGGAAATCCATCGCCCGAAATCCCAAGAGGCTCCAGTCTCATCACTGAACTCTATCAATTCGAATTGATTTTGTGAATAATTTATAATAAGTACGTTACGATAAAGCACACCCATCCACACGCACGCAAAACACACACTCACACGATCCACTGATAAATTGGCCCTTCTTTCGCGATCCCGCACGCATGCAACGCTGTTGCCTCCATGCACTCACCTAATACTTGTTGGTCGGGCGTCGCGACGCTTCGTCTGGCGTCGCTCCGCCCCGGCAGCCCTTTGCATAATCCCACCATAGCAGATCGATTTTGTTTCCCCCGAAAATAAAACGAGAAACAAGTACAGAAAAATATATACAAGCAAATAACTAAATAGAACAACTGCAACTACAACTAGAAATACACACAAAAAAGGTAGTTAGATAGAAGCGCGCAACAGTTTGCAATTCTAATCTAATTGGCACACACACAGAAAACCGTATTCTCCTCTGCCCCAAATATTTCTCGGTGCATAAAGCTGACAAATCTCCAAATACACTCGTATCTACATATAATAGAGATATATATATAACAAACGGAACGAACAGAATGACAAAAACGAAATTGGATCAAATTAATTTTTGGGGCACACATTTGTGACATTTATACCGTGAAATTGGTTCGAGCAGAAGAAAACCGAACAACAAAATCGTAATGGAATTGTTACGATCCCTATTGTCTTTCCTCTATTTTTTTTGTGTTGTTGTCTCGATCCGTTGTTGTTGATGTTGTCTTTGGAACGTACAGACCGTTTACGGGTAAAGTGTGTCGAAAATGAAATGAATATTAATTTGAATAGAAGCGACTCCTTTTCTTAAGTTCCATACGGATAATACGGTTAGCATTCTTTTAGTCCGATTCGAGCAACCACCGCTAGACGCTCCACAAAAGTGACAAAATTCTAATGGAACAACAAAAGCTGAATTACAATTAGAAAGCTCCAAAAGTCGGCATGCGCCATTATAATTTTAGGAATCGAGACACGCATTATTGACATTTCAATTATTAAACGCAATTAGATTTATATACATCAAGTAATAATTAACTTGATTACATTATTTATTATATTTAATATAAAATGGGGTTAACTAATAAAATTACTAGATTATATTCATAAATCATTTATCATAATAAATTTAATAACATATTCTACTTTATTAAATAACATATTGTATTAACAAAGCAACAAAAATATGATGATAGTGTATAATTAAAAAAAAGTATCGTTCTGTATGCAAAATGCATAACCATACAATTTAATTATTTATAGAATTATCAATTACCTTCAGATAAATTTCAAACTCCTAAATACTAATTTGCTTTAATTTCTTTATTTACAAATCATTATTGGCCTTAATTTATCTAAAGGAATATCGATCAAAATATTTTTTGTACAAAATAATTTCAAATTGTAATTTATTATCGAATGTGATAAAAATGCATAAAGAAAAAAATATCAAAAAAAAATGAATTGAAAAATTGATATTTTTGTTTAATTTAATACAGTTGTTAAAGTAAATCAGTAAAACAGTTTAATTTCAAATTTAAACTGTTAAACAAGTATTTCGCTTAACGAGCAAAATGAATTGTAAGAGAAATGACTCGCTTAACGAGCAAAGTTTCGCATAACGAGTGACGGTGAGAAGAGAAGTCCTGGATTCCTGTATTGTTTCTTTCGGTAATAACTTTGAAATGTGTGTAATCCTCTTGAAGACATATGAAAGAAATCATCAAAATCTTTTAGAAATAATAGAGAAAGAGATAGTTGAAATGGAAATAGATGGAGATTAAATAGACTCCGAAATGAATTGCCACAATGTATTTTATTATATCTTCTTAATTCAATTAATTGATATACTAAAATAATAATATTATACTTTAATGATGAATCAATAAAAAGAAATTCCATTATTTCTTTATTTTTATTATAAAGTTTGTAATGATTACAGCAAAAATAAATTTCCAATTATGTTCTCAAACTATCGATATTTTTCAATACTTCAAACTCTAGTGATGATCATAAAAATAGTTAAACAGTAATCAATGTTTTTTATTATTTAACTATCAATTCCTTGTTTTAATAAGCCTAAAAATACAAATATTATCTAGATTATATATGTAACATTCAATTATTAACTAACTAACAATTATTTCTTTAATAATTGCGTAAACTCTTAATATCCACTTATTTTCTTGAAATGAACATGATATTATGAATGTTATAAAATAAATTGAAATATTCATTTTAATTCCTTACAATGTGAGTAAATCCGTGATATATTTGTTCCAGTTTCCTTTTGCACGTGTAACTGTCCATACCTCAATTTAATAATAGCAAATCCGTCAATTATTGTCAACCTTATCTGTCTTCCTGTCCTGTCCACAAATCGGTAACTTACCTAGTAGCAACGTGCCACAACATACGATTCCGGTTTATCGATGTCAACCTTTCTTATAAAGGCAACAAACAATTAGTGCATTTAACTGTAGTACACTGCTATATAGGTTAGCACAAAATATTTGAAAGTTTTGAAAACATGAATAATAATAATCTTCTAAGATTTAGAAATATCAACTATATTAACGGAAAGAGTTGCATCTAAATAATTAAACACTGGTCGCGTTTAACAGTTAGGCACTTCAGCTTAATGCTAGGACTAAGTAAGATTAAGTCTATTTAACAACTTTTAGAAAGAAATTAGGTGCTTTTGCGCAACTGGATTTCCTTCAATAATAGATGCGATTGATGTAACGGCGAACCGCACGCTGCTCAACTTGAACGGTGCAGAATATATTCTGCTTAGCGGAATGTTCTAACAAGGATGTATATCTTCTATACATTTTTATATGTAACGCCGTTTTGAAATCATTATTTGATACTTTTTTTCACATCTTGACATACTTTCCACAATTTGTCTATTTATATTTTTTTTTTTTTCCAAAAATGATGAAAAATTTGTTACAATTTTTGAAAAATGAATGTTAACAGATTTTCAATTAGTTCTCAATGAATGCTTAAACGATTTTGGAATGTTCATTTACTAGTTCATTCAATAGTTACTTACTATTTCCTAAAAAGTAATATCTTCAGTTTTTCAACTACTTCTAAATTATTAATAAACTTATTTTAGAAATTGTAAACTGAAACTAAATTTTATATATATAGAGTATGTTGAATATTGGAGAAAAATTTGCAAAAATTTCCAAATCAATACATAATTTTTCAAATGTATCTCGATTAATACTTAAGGGATTTTTGTAAATTATTGCTCAAACTAAACTTGAATGTATTGAGAATGTAATTTACATATTCTTTTTGCATGTTCGTTTACAAATTTTGAGTAAAATGGTTGCACAAATCTGTGAAATTATAATTTACATTTTCAGAAATTGTTTTAATAATTTTTTTCAAGCATTTCCTTAAAAATTAGTACAGTAACAATACAAATCAAATGAACTATTGCATAATTTATACATTCAACATTAATTTGAGCGTTTATTTTGCAAAATCGGTTAGTATTCATTGAGAAATAGTTGAAATACGAACATGACAGGTTCAAAACCAACCAAATCACATCAAAAAAGGTGGTTATAAGTGATTATAAAAAAATAACATTTATATCATTTCAGAATAACAATATAAAATATATTACTGATTACTTTCAAATTATTTAGTTTCATTATCTAAGTGTGAAAGATATTTGAATGTTCCATGTGGAAATGAAGTTTTTATTGTCATTATAATAGATTGGTTATCGGAGGGAATACATTATTAGTTCTTATATAAAAGTAATAAAAAAAAATGTGATGCGTCTACTTCCATTTTGGCGAAGCAATAAATAAAATAATCATGAAGCGATGACTGGAAATCCAACAAAACGTTCGATCAATTGCGGATTCCCCCCATCTCTACACATAATGGAATTGCGAACAGCAGGGCAGATTCTTTATATCGTGGACAGTTTCGTTTCGAACACAGTTAAATAATATATTTTATCTCTTACGTGTCCACATTTTTTTCAACTTTATATTCCTTGGTTCATAAAGATTTTTTTTATTGAAACGATAATGTATAAGAAAAACTATAATAGTTGAAAGTAAATGAGTTTTATTAAAACTTACTGTAACAAAAGTTCGCTAAGTTGGCATTAATTGATTTATTTCTGAAACAACAAAAGTTGTTTCTCAATTTGTTAAAGTCTAACGATATTTCATGTCAGATTTCAAGAAGATCGGTAAATATGGATAGAGAAAATGCAAAATTAGTCATGTAAGGTTGGTAGAAATTCCACCACAAACACAGCAAAAATTTGTTTTGTCATTCTCTACGGATTTCGACGTCAACTCAAGCCTATGCAAATTTTCCAGGAATGCCAAAATGTATATGGACTGAATGCATCATCCTTTGTGACTATTTCCAAATGATTTCAAAGTTTTCAGACCGGAGATTTTTCTGTGGAGGACGAACCTCGTGAAGGTTGCCCAAAATCTTCGACCGATGATAGAAGGAAAACATTGACGAAGATCCAAGAGTGACACATGAAATGGTAGTTGATGAACTGGGCTTGAATGCCATGGCTTTGTCGCATATATTAAATAATCGCTTTAGCTGCACGAAGAAATTTGCTCGATAGGTTCCACGTTTTTTATATGACGACCAAATAAAGGCACGTGTTCGTTTTGTCAAATATTTCTTGGAAAATTTTGATAACTTTGACTTGGAAACCAAACAGCAGTTCATGGTATGGAGCGCAGAAGTTGCAAATTCCTCCAGATAAAGCAAGACAACAAAAATCAGCAACAAAAGTGATGATGTCGATTTACTCTACCAGGGTAAAAGTGGTAGCTGCTATCTCACTCGAAACTAGTCAGAGGGTAACTGCTAAGTAGTACACAGAAACTTGCTTACCACAAGTTTTCAAAAATTTGTTGGGAAACCAGAAAAAAGGGGAACTTCGTCGATACTTTTTACATCACGATCATTCTCCCACTCATACTACTGAAATAACCAACAACTTTATTGCGCTCTCTGGCATCACTGAAATTCGCACAGCACTTTATTCTACTGATCTAGCGTCTTGTGATTTCTGGCTGTTTCCGAAAAAAAATGAAGTAAAAAGTCTTTAGTTCCAATGAAGTGATCACTAATTAAAAGATTAAAAGATCCAAAAAGCCGATTTTGAGGAATGTTTTGAAAGGTGGCTCTGCTGACTTAAGAAATGTATTGAAATAAATGGAAATTATGTAAAGAAATTACAAAAGGATGAAAATTAAATATATTAAAATAAATTTGCTTTTATTTTGGTTTTATTCAGTCAACTTAGCGAACTCTTGTTAGACGCCACGTATTTATGTGTATAACTAATATTATTAATTATGACTTATATTGATATTTCAATAAAACGTAAAATAGAAATAAATGATGAAGCCTGAAATACTGAAGGGTTTGAAGAAGTCGTAACTGGTTCATTTTTAATT